GGGGAGAGACAGACAGACAGAGACAGAAGGAGAGAGACAGCAGAGACACTGAGACCTGGAGCCACCGAGAGACACAGGGGCAGAGAGACAGTGAGGGAGAGAGAGGGAGAGACAAAGAGACACAGAGACCAAGAGGCACCAGGGACCCAGCGCTGGGGAGCAGAGGTGGGAGAATGGAGACACAAAGGCGGGGAGACAGGGGCCCCCAGAGAAAGAGAGAGATGGGGATGGGGGCCCAGGGCGGGGAGACAGAGAGAGAACAGGAGAGACTGAGAGCGAGCAAGAGATACGGAGACAGAGACGCAGAGAATCATCCAGAGAAAGAAAGCCACAGAGATAGAGAGCCCAGGAAGGAGACCCAGAGGCACAAAGAGAAAGGGGCCGAGGAAGGCAGATTCCGAGGACAAGGAGAGAAAGGACAGGGACAGGAAGGGGCCCTGGGGGTCACGGGCCGTGCCCCTCCCCCCGCCGGGTCGGCGGCCCCGGTGGCCTCTGCCGAGCCATGGCTAATGGTATGATTGCTTGGCGGGGCGGCAGGCGGCGGGTGACAAATGAGCTGCCGGAGTTGCCAGCTCCGTGATGGATGGGCCGGGCAGAGGGGCGGGCGCGGGGTGGGGGCCCCACCAAGAGACACGTTCCTCCGTCCTCCTGGAGCCAGGCCAGGTGGGGGAAGCAGTGGGGACTCGGGGGGGCCATGCGGCTCCTCGAGGGGGGGCAGCCGGGCGGGGAGCAAAACAGGAAGATTGGAACCCGGGGACGGGGATGGAGAGAGGAGAGAGATGGGGGACACAAAGGCCGGGAGATGGGGGTCCCCAAAGGTGAAGTTGGGGGGCAAGGGGAGGGAGAGAGAGAGGGAGATGGAAACAGAGACACAGAGAATCATCCAGAGAAAAAGATGGAGGGATAGACACACAAGACAGACAGACACACACACCCCCAAGACAGACAGAGACACAGGGGGCCCTCACAGAGACCCCTTCTTCCCCCTGCTCCGGGCAGAGATACAGATCCCTGGAGAGACTCTAAGGGTGAGGGACGAGGGGCAGAGACCAAGAGACAAGCAGACAGCTGATGACGAAGAGGGAAACTGAGGCAGAGCTGGCAGAAAGACCAAGAAAGAAGGCAGGAGGGGCCTGAGCAGCTCCTAGCTCACTCTCTCAGCTCCCGCGGCTCTGAGAGCAGATCCCGGGGAATCCCTGGGGCGCCCCTGGGGACGGCGGCTGCCTGGTGAGCGGGCGCTGGGGGGTCAGCAGCCAGTCTGGGAAACCATGTTGGGGAGACGCAGGAGGTCCCCACACCTAGGCCTGGAGGACTCAACGGGCTGGGCCAGGCCTGGGGGCTTCCCGTCTATACGATGAGGGCGGGGGGGCTGGAGGGTGCCCCCCTCCCAGGGCGGGGGTCCTGCGGGGTCTGTGCCCACACAGAGGCCAGAGGGTAACATGCCACCAGATACACCCAGGGGGCCCAAACCGCTCCCTCGTGCGGGCAGCCACACGGGGACAGCCAGCAAGACCGAGGCCTGGACCCCACCTTCTCCCTCCCCCCCGGGTCACGAGGGTCCCAGGGGCCAGGACCATCTGAGGGAGGTGGCTAAGGAGGCCTGAGGTCAGAGAGAGAGGGGACGGGGTGTGTGTGATGGACAGAAGGCCGGCGACCTCCTCCCCGTCTCTGGCCTCCGGTCCCTTGCCTTCTCCAGTGGCTTCTCTCCAGACACCCCGGTGGGTCGTCCCCAGCCCAGCAGCTCGCTCCTCTGTAATTAAAAAGATTGATGCCGCGGAGCGCAGGCCCCTCCTCGTCTGGGCGGCGGAGGGTCCTTCTGAGCTCAGAGCCAGGGGAGAAACGACTGGAAGAAACGCCTCGAGTCTCTGTCTGTGCCTCCCACCCCCCATCCCGCTTTCTCTCTCCCCCCATATCTCTGTCTCTCTCTGTGTCTCTCCCTCTCTCTGTCCATCTCTCCGTCTCTTTCTCTTTTTGTCCATCTCTCTGTCTCTCTCTCTCTCTGTCTCTCTCTCCTCCCATCTCTCTCTCCCTCTGACTCAGTCTACCCCATTTCCTTCATCTCTCCGTGTCTCTTTCTGCCACTCCCTTTTGGCCATTCCCCGAGTCACACCCCCTCACGGGCCTCCCTGGGACCACCACGAGGTCACGGCCCAGTCACCTCCTTCCCTCTGCCCACCTGCCCCCCCAGGACGGTCACCTCAGGCCACACATCCTGCTTTCAGAAGCCATGAAGGCCCGGGGACCTCAGCACACCCCCCGAGACCCAAATCAGGGCTGGGGGCCCAGACCCCCGGCTCCCCTACCCTGAACCTCAGCTGAGGGCGACGACAGAAGAGCTTGGCATCTTTAATTAAAAAGTGATTTAAATTAATTTTCTGCTCCAAAACCCCTCTCTGAGGGCGGCGCGGGGGGGGGGGGGGGGGGGGGGGGGGCGTGTGACAGTGATTAAGGCTCTCCCGGCCCCCTCCCCTCTGCCTTCCTTAAAGGGCCAGCGTCACCTGCAGATAGTTGAGTGTGAGTGTCGGGGGTCGGGGGCGGGGAGAGTGGGGGCGGGAGCGCCCACTGGTGCGGGGACCCCAGACTCAGCCGAGGCCCCCTGGGTCCCAGCACCCTCTGGTTTAACCACCTCCCCATCACCCCCCACCCAAGCCCATTGCCCATTGAGCAAATGGGGAAGGGTCAGTCTGAGGTGGGTCCAGCCCCCAGATTCCCAGAGGAGACCCAGCGGTGGCCAGGGAGGGGGGTGTCCAGGGGAGTCAGAGGGCAAGAGTCAGGGACAGAGGGAGAGAAGGGATCAGAGAGGGACAGAGCTCCTGGGTGAGACACAGAGAGTGAGGGCGTGAGAGCCAGGGAGAGATGGAGGCAGAGAGAGACAGAGGCAGGGGGAGACAGAGGCAGGGGGAGGCAGAGGCAGAGACAAGGAGAAGAGGGGGTGACCTGGAGGTGAAGCAGAGCCCAGATGGGAAGGACCAGGGCCACCAGGCTGGCCCTCCCCCACAGCCTCCACTCGCCCCTCCTGCTGGAAGTGCTGCTGCCAGTCTAACCGCAGTCCCTCGTGCTGTAGGCCCAGCGGGCGCCCCGGCCCCCGGCCTGCACAGTTTTGTTTCACTTTGAGAGGACGAAGGCGAAGCAGGAGGCAGCTGAGGAAAAGCCGGGGCTGCTTATGAGTCGTGAACACATCCTGGGACGGCCGGCAGGGGTGCCACCATGCTCCCGGCCCCCACTCAGCCTGGATCTCTGTCCTCCTCTCTGGGTCTCTGTCCCCCCTCCATCTCTGTCCGTCCTCCCTCTGGGTCTTCGTCCTCGCCCCTCTTTCTGTCCCCTTCTCGCCAGACCGATCTCATTTCTCTTTGGTGCCGTCCCTCTGTAGCGATGGTTGGTCATTTTTGGGGGGGGTCAAGTAACCTTTTGTGACAAAAGGAATGAAAACTATGGGCCATCTCCGTGGGGGGTGGGGGGGAAGAACCATAAGCGCCAAGCCCACAATTTGCCATGTAATTTAGGGAGTTCACGGGTCTCTTGACACCCACTGGCACAGCCCCTCAGGAATCAGAGGACACCAGAAAAGAAAGACCCCTAATGTAGGAAAAGCCAGGGACAGAACAAATCCCAGGGGTCTCTCTCCTCTCCCCCTTGCTGGCCTCACTGTTCACATTCCTGCCCCAGGGCCTTTGCACCTGTGGTTCCCCTGCCTGGAAGGATCTTCCCCCAGATGTCTGCATGACTCCCTCCCTCCCCTTCCTCCGGCCTCTGCTCAGATGTCACCTCCTCTGAGGCCTCCCCTGTCCAGCTTATATCATCCCACGTCCTCATTCTGCTTTGTTTCAGAGCACCTGCCACCTCCAGGCAGTATTTTACACTTAGATCTTTACCTCCTGAACTATTCTCTCTCCCTCACCCCATCCCCAACAGAATGTGGGCTCCAGGAGGCCAGGAAGCTTGTCTTTTGTTCTCTGCTCTATCTCCAGTACACCACGCAGCACACAGTAGGTGCTCAACAAATTTTCACCGCAGACGTCTTCCCTTGACCTCATGAGAGCGCCAGCGTCAAAGGCTGGGTGGGTCCCAGGCTCCTCCGAGGAAACCGTGGACCTGCGCGCGCTCCAGCGGAGGCGTCACCGGGCGCCTCGTTCCTCCTCGATTCTAGAGATTCCACCAACTCCCAGGGCAGTGGAGCGAATTCCAGGCTGAAAACCTTCCAAAAGGCAGGGGCCAAAAGTGGGCGGAGGGAGAGAGAGAGACCTCCAGGCGCGCGCGCGCGCACACACACACACACACACACACACGTGCAGACACGCTGATGTCCGAGGCCCAGATATTGTATGTCCAGACTCGGGCAGACACACACACACACACACCCAACACTCACCATATTTAGAGGCCGGAACAACGCACACAGTCACTCCTGCAAACACACCCTCGCGCGCGCACACCCCGATGGCTCCAGACACAGGCGCACGCGTGTCCTTGTCTCCCAGGGGAGGGAAGCTCGGGGGGCCAGAGCCAGAAGGGAAACTAAAATATGGGGTTTGGCTGCTTCCAGCCTCCGGTTCTCTCCTCGGATTCTGTCTCAGCGTCAGAGAGACGGAGAGAGAGAGAGAACAGAGAAGGAGGGGGGTGGGGAGAGGTGGGAGGGCCTGCGCGAGCGTGGGGGGCAGGGAGAGACGGAGACGCGCAGAGATGGCAGAGAGAGACCGAGAGACAAAGAGAGAAGGGAATGGAGAGACTTGAAGCCGTGGAAACAAGAGGGAAGCGGGGAGATGGAGAGAGCGAGACGGGAAGGGCGGAGAGCAAGGAGGGGGAGAGGGGCAGAGACCTGTGGCGGCCGAGGAGGGGGGAGGCCGGGGCGCCCCGGAGCCGGAGGGTGGGGGTTGACCCGGAGAGAGGGCGGCAGGGGGGGTAGGGGCTGAGGGAGCCGAGCCCCGGGGAGACTGCGATACAACGCGGCCCCGGGAAGCCGCTGCGCCCCCGGCGGGGGGATGGGGCGGGGGGAGGGGAGGAGAGGGGGCTGGGGACCCGCCCGCCCCGCCCGCTCGCGCCGCCGGCGGACAGCGGGTTAAGCATCTCCGCGGTGGAACTTCCGGATGTGACCACAGAGAGAGGGAGAGACCGGGAGAGGGGAGAGGAGACGAGCCGCCAGCATCCCTCGGGCCCGCCGACGCCGGCCCGCGCGCCCCACCCCGCCCCCGGCCCGCGGGCGGACTGTCTGTCTCGGGCTGCGTGTCTGTCTCGGGCTGGTTCCGTCCTCCCAGGACCCGCGCAGGGACTGGGCGCCCCGGGGAGGGGGCCTCGGGCGACCCTCCCCCGCCTCGCGCCCCCGCTGGCCGGCATGCGCCCCTGGCCGTGACCCCCGCGGGGCCGGGCGCTGGGGGTCCATGCGCGCAGCCTGCTCCCCGCCCGGCGCCGGCCGCTGACGGCCGTGGGGGGGGTGGGGGAGCCGGGCACCCAGCCTCCTGCCCCACCCCCTGGCGTCGGCCCCACCGGCCACCCGGGCCGCTGGCCCTGGCTGCGCCCTCCCCGCTGGCCAGGCCCTGGAGGGACCCGGGAGCGGCCGCCGGCTTCAGCCCATGGCCCGGAGGGTAGGTCTGAGGGCGGGCACCCTGCGCGCCGGCCCGTCTCCACATCTCCCGCTGCATCTCCCCCAGCTCAGCCTGCCCTACCCCCCCATCTCTTTCTCTGCCCCCCACCTCTCCGTCCCTGTCTCCCCCTCCATCTCAGGCCCTCTATCCTCCCCCTCCTCCCTTTTCTCTCCTCCCTAATTCTTCTCCCTGGTCCACTTTTGTTCCAAGTCCCTCCGAAGGTCAGGGGTGGGGACAGTGCTGGGAGAGGTGGGTCTCACCAGGCAGGGCCGAGGGCTTCTCTCCTTGACCGTCCTGGGGATGGGCGAGCTCAGGTGATGGGTGAGGAGCTGAGTCTGCCCCTTTGAGGGTGGACGGTGCGCAAGCACGCTGGGTGGGAAGACCCCAGCACATGGGAGCAGCTGGATCCAACTTCAGGGCTCGGAGAAGTTCAGAGAAGAGTGAGCGAAGGGCGGAGAGAAGGAGACACACGCAGGGGAACCCCGGCATGGACCTCTGCTCCTCCTTCCCCGGTCCCTGTGCCTGGTGGGGCCTCAGCTCCTTCGTCTCCACGCCAGGGTTTGGCCTGGTGATTTAAAGGTCCCTCCGGCCTCCCCAGGGCCCTTGCCTCTGTGGTGACGGGACGCAGAAATCTCGGCCACCCCAGGGCTCGTGGTTTCTCTGCGGGGCCGTTTGCACAGCGGGTTTGTGTGGCTGTGTGGGGTCACACTGTCCTTCAACAAGTGTTTATGGGATGTGTGCCAGGCACTGTGCTGACAGCCTCGTTCATTCGTTCACTCGCTCACTCCTTCCTTCATTCCTGCACCTGACCTTTGGCTGTGTGTGTGCGGTGGGTTCACGTGGTGATGGGGTGTGACAGGTTCTTCAGACCCACTCGGATGTGCGTGCTTGAACTGTGAAATGACACGGAAGTGGGGGGAGTGGGTGAAGTGTCCGGACGTGTGTGCGGACAATGCGCTGTTTTCATGGGAAAGGTCCGTAAGGGGCGTCCCTCTCTGTGTCTGCCTCTGTCTCTGTGTTTCTCTCTTTCTCTCCCATCTTTTCTCTCTTTGCCTGTCTCCCCATCTCTCTCAGCATTTCTCTCTCTCTCCGCTCCTGTCTGCCCTCCTCACTCTGTGAGGAGCCGGTCGTTACCCGCCCGCCCATCCCTGACCCCGACCCTGACCCTCAGCTCCCCGACCTGCTCAGTCTCTCTCCTCGGGACCCGCCTGCCCTCCCATCAGGGATCTCTGACGGGACGTTTGTCACCATCCAGGGGCCCAAGAGAAGGCTGCGAGACAGGGCCCTCGGTCCCACCCAACAGCTCCATGGACATCGGGGCCATCAGGAGGCAGGCCTTGGACACCTGGGGAACGGAAAGGCGGGTCCCCGGGCAGAGAGGGGGCATCTCCTGGGTCCCCAGATCGGGAGGTTTCTTGGAGGCACTGACGCCTCCTTGGGGCTCTCTCCCTCTTGCCTCCCCCCCCAGTACGATGAGCTGCCTCACTACCCAGGCATCGTGGATGGCACCGCAGCCCTGGCTGGCTTCTCGGAGGCAGTGCCCACAGCACCGAGAGCCCCGGGGCCCTACGGCCCCCACCGGCCTCCTCAGCCCCCTCCCCCGGGCTTGGACAGCGATGGCCTGAAGAGAGAGAAGGACGAGATCTACGGGTGAGTGGGGTCTCCGGATGTGGGCCTCTCTCCCACTCTCTTTCTCTGTTTCTCTGCGTCTGTTTCTCTCTCTCGGACTCTATCTCGCTCCGTCTCTGTCTCTCCATCTCCTCCCTCTGGGCCTCCTGTGCCCTCCCAGTTGCTCTGAGCTTCGTGGACCCCTGCCCTCCCCTAAGGAGATCTCTCCTCTCCTGCCCCCTGCCAGACACCCGCTCTTCCCCCTGCTGGCCCTGGTCTTTGAGAAATGTGAACTGGCCACGTGCTCACCTCGTGACGTGGCCGGGGCTGGGCTGGGCACGCCCCCGGGCGGCGACGTCTGCTCCTCCGACTCCTTCAATGAGGACATTGCCGCTTTTGCCAAGCAGGTGTGCAACCCCTCATCAGGCGTGCGCCGGGCAAGCCGGCGATGAGGGGCGGGAGGGAGCCTCCCAGTGCCCTCCCTGGCCTCTCTCTTCCTCCCAGGTCCGCTCCGAGAGGCCCCTCTTCTCCTCCAACCCGGAGCTGGACAATCTGGTGAGACCCGGGCCCTCCCCACCCCCCTCCTCCGAGGGCTGTCCTGTCGCGCCCTCCGCAGCCCTGGGGCTGACTGGGGGAGCCTGACCCCCTTCTCCAATATGGATGATCGCTGCCCATTTGCAATGCAGGGTAGCCAGGAGCTTGAGGACAGGACCCGTGGCCTGAGTTCAAATCCCGGCTCTGCCACTTGCTAGCCCTGTGAACCAGGGCGGGTAGCCCCATCTCCCTGTGCCTCAGTTTCCTCATCTGTAAAGTGTAGCCTGTAGTCGTGTCTATCCTGTAGGGCCGTTGTGAGTAGTTCATGAGTTCACCAGCATCCAGAGCTTAGAACAGGGCCTGGCTCACGAGGGGACTTGATACACCACTCAGTCGGGAGAACAGAGCCCATGCCAACATGAGGAGAGAAGAGAGAGAAAGAGAAGGGGGAGGAGAGGGAGAGCGAGAGGGAGAAATACCCCTGCTTCTCCTTTCCTTTTGTTTCCAAGCTCCCACCAGGGCTTCCTATTGGCTGAGCCCTCTGGCAAAGGACTCTGGGAAATGTAGTTTACAGGCAAAGGGTGGCTATTGTCCTAATTAAGGACGCCTCGGCCTCCTCCTCCTCCTGTGATGGACCCTTTTCTGTCTCCTGCGCCTCTTGCTTCTCTTTTTCTTCGACTCTCAAACACTCTCTGTTCCCTTAACTCTGAGTCTCTGTCTCGATTCCTGGTTTCTCTCTTTCTCTGTTGCTTTGTCTGTCTTATTCCATCTCACTCCTTCTGTTTCTCTGTCTCTCCGCTTCTCTCCTTTCTCCTCCTCCTCCTCCCCGTCTCTCTCTCTCTCCCCCGGCCCTCCCTCTCTCGCCTCCTCTGCTCCTCCTCCTCCCCGTCTCTCTCTCTCTCCCCCGGCCCTCCCTCTCTCGCCTCCTCTGCTCTTCCTGTCTCTCTTTGCAGATGATCCAGGCCATCCAAGTGCTCCGGTTCCACCTGCTGGAGCTGGAGAAGGTGAGTGCTTCTCACTTCCCCTCACCTGTCACCCGCCCCCCCGCCCCTCCCTCTCTCACCCCCTTCCCCAGAGTTGGGGCAGAGTACCACCCCCCTCCCTGTACGCCCCAGCCCTGGCCCCCCGGGCGGCCCCCCCAGTACCCCGGTGCCCCCTCAGGTCCACGACCTGTGCGACAACTTCTGTCATCGCTACATCACCTGCCTCAAGGGAAAGATGCCCATCGACCTGGTCATCGAGGATCGGGACGGCGGCTGCAGGGAGGACCTCGAGGACTACCCGGCCTCCTGCCCCAGCCTCCCGGATCAGGTGGGCCCAGGAGGGGGCCCCAGGCCTCACCTTGCGACCAAAGCCGTTCCCCGGGCGGCTGGGCTGTGGCGTGAGGGCACACACCCGCCACAGAGCCTCCGACCGCGGGACCTGCAGCAGCTCCGTGGCAGCCACACAGACAGGGATACAGCTGGACGACAGCACACACACACAGACACACACACACACACACCAACAGCTGCAGACAGCACCCACAGACTCGGCCACACCCACACAGGTTCGCACGCAGCTGCACGGTTAAGGCCGTTCTCGCTCACAACCAGCGATAACATACACCCCCTCCTCACACACACATCCCAGCCGCATGACAGCATCACAGACCGCATGGCCTGATTAGGACACTGCCATTCTGGAGTGTGTGTGTCTTCACACGGCCTCCAATAGATGCCCCCAGGGCCATCGCCCACCCCGATACAGTCACGGAGCCGCGTGCCTGCTTGTGTAGGAATCAGGGTCCCCACACACTGTCTCACATAGGACAACCAGCCCCTCGAATTACAGCCACACACTTAGAAAAACTCGGCCTCCCCATAGTCAGATCCGGCCACCTGGCCGTCTTAGAGGGTGACACAGCCACGTTCCAACACGGCCGCGTGTCTCGGCTTCGACCAGGGAACAACCACGCCTCGGCCACCTCCTTTCCGTGGACAGCCTCGCCCTCTTGGGCACAGACATAGACACACGCACACTTACATGCCACACGACAGGCTCAGGCCAGCATCAGGGGGGCCAATGTGGATGCTGACCTGCAGCATCCAATCGGATCCAGCATGACAAGAGCTACAGGTGGCAGTTAGAGCCGTACTCGAAAGCCTTCAGACCGGGCGATGCTGCAGTTGGCACGCACGCCCTCCCCAGGGCACTCACGCACAATTCCACGCACACGTACGAGCCTGGAGGAAACCGCTCTGAGCCGCGGCGTCTTGGGCTGAGCCCCAGTGATAGAGGGACGGACGATGCACCCACACTGGGCCGTGTGGGGAGGGACTGTGAAGCAGTGGGCAGGGTCTGGGGCGATCAGCAGGGCAGGTGGGGTTCCCGGGGCTCAGAAATAGCGGGTGGCTGTTTCCACCCCCCTCTGCACGTAATCTGCCTGCCGGCAATGGAACCGAACCTGAGGGTAATCGGCCAAGTGGTCTCAATGCCGTCTCTGTGGGTCGGTCTCCTCCAGGGACACAGAGCTGGGGCAGAGGGTGACTCCGCCGCATTGTCAACTTCCTCAAAGTGTGTCGGAGTTTGGATAAAGAAAAAACAGCCCCGGACCCTGTGGTCTGCAATTCTGAGACACCCCCCCCCCGACCCGACGCAAATCTCTGAAAACTGAAAATTGTGGAGTTTGCATCCCTGTAAGTTTCGTGCAAACTCATTTGGCAGCAAAAGCTGCCCTGAACTAATGAGAGGCTATTTATAGCCTTTATTTATTCCACTTAGTTAAATATTCATCCATTTGGCTGCAGAAATTTTAATGAGTTTGATGGCAAGGTTATGCCCCGCACCCTGCGGGGCGTGTTATGAAGTACACAGTATGTGCACTGATTTACTGTCTGAAAATGTGAAAAGGTCTGAATTCTGAAACACTGGCCCCCAAGGATTTCAGATAGGGTGCTGTCCATCTGTATGAGCTCATCTTTGTGGAGCGATTACTGTGTGTCTTTACTTAAATTAACTGATGGAGTCCTTACCATACTCTGAGGTGGGGGTCTTCCATTTTTCAGTTGAGGAAACAGGCACAGAGAGGTGAAGAGACTTGCTCAAGCTCACACAGCCAGGAAAGAGGCAGGGACAGGCTTTATACCCAGGAGTCCCAGCTCCAGAGCCATGATCTTAGCCCCCGTGTTATATTGTACCCCATGCCTTGGCGCTGACTTCCAACTCTTGTTTTCCAGACTAACGCATGGATTAGAGACCATGAGGACAGTGGGTCTGTACATTTGGGGACCCCGGGTCCATCCAGTGGTGGCCTGGCCTCCCAGAGTGGGGACAACTCTAGTGACCAAGGTGAGATGCTTGGGAGGTGGAGGGGAAATGTGGGAGTCGGTCTGAGGATTGAAGTTAGACAGCAAGTGGGACTTCCAGAGAGGTGTGAAGTGGTGTCTTGGAGGAGGGTTCTGGTCCCCCTGGGTGCCCACCCTCACTGTCCACAAACACAGCGTGCCTCTCCCCCGTCAGGAGACGGACTGGACACAAGCGTGGCCTCTCCCAGTTCTGGGGGAGAGGACGAGGAGCTGGACCAGGAGCGGCGTCGGAACAAGAAGCGGGGCATCTTCCCCAAGGTGGCCACCAACATCATGAGAGCCTGGCTGTTCCAGCACCTCTCGGTGAGTGCCCCGGGCCCCTGGGTGTGGGCGGGCATCCAGGGGGGTGGAGAAGGGCGGCCACGCAGAGACTGGGGCCTCAAGAGAGACCCAGAGATGGGAGACTGAGGCAGGGGAGAAATATGGAGGGAGAATCTCAAGGCTATGGGGACTAACATGCGAACATCCCGGAGCACTGCCTGTGCTCCAGGTGCCGCTAAGGTCCTCCCCCAACCCATCCGCCCACTCCCCCACCCATCCGCCCATCTATTCACCTAGCCGTCAATCATCCGCCATCCAGCCAGACATGCCCTGCGGGAGCGGGGGTGTGGTTAGCTCCATTCTGCAGATGAAGAGATGGAAGCCCAGAGGACCCACAGCCAGAAGTGGGTTCAGATGCAGGCAGTGTGGGCCCTAACCACTGCACCACACTGCCTCCTGGGGAGAGACGGAAAAAGAGAGACAGGGAGAGGCTGAAACAAAGAGATGGAGGGAGATGGGGAGGACTGAATCAGAGCAAGACAGACACAGGGAGAGACTGGGTCACAGAGGGACAAAGACACAGAGACAGGGACAGAGGGAGAGAGAGGAAGTCAGAGAGAGAGGCACAGAGAGAGAGAGAGACTGGGACGGCGAGAGACGTGTGCAGGGACCCTGACGGGGACTCAGAGGGCCGGTGCTGGCTTTGCCTCCTTTCTGGGCCCTGGAGCCCCCTCCCCAAGCTCAGTCTCCCTAATGAGAGCTGGCCAATTAGTCTCTAATTGCTGGAAGAGGCAGGGAGCCCACGGGTGTAATTGCCTGGAGCTGGGCTCCGCTTCCCTCCACTGGGTCCCCGGGGAGCACAGACGCGCTGGCTCTCAGATGACAGGCCAGGCCTTGGGGATCGGATGGCGGCCTGGCAGGCAGGGTGACTCTCGCTGGTGGTCACAGCACCCGTACCCCTCGGAGGAGCAGAAGAAACAGCTGGCGCAGGACACGGGGCTCACGATTCTGCAAGTCAACAACTGGTGAGCGCCCCCGGGCGGGGAGGCCGGGCGCTGTCCGCGGTGCTGAAGGAGGCGCCGCCGCCCCTCGCAGCCTCTCCGCCTCCGTCCTCTCCTCCCGGCTCGCTCTCCGTCTGTGTGTGCTTCTCCCTGCCTCCCTCCTGCTCCCTCTTGACACCCTCCTCCGTTTCCACGACCCTCCCAGGTTCATTAACGCCCGGAGACGCATCGTGCAACCCATGATCGATCAATCCAACCGCACAGGTACAGGGAGAAGGCGGGCAGAGAGGCCCTACTGCTCCTGCGGGAGTGTCAAAACGGGACCCGGGCATCCTGGGGCTCAGCCTGCACCCCTCAAACCCCCTCGCAGGGCAGGGTGCAGCTTTCAGCCCAGAGGGCCAGCCCGTGGGGGGCTACACGGAGACTCAGCCACACATGACTGTGAGGCCGCCAGGTAAGACCCCACCCCCTAACGAGGCCCCACCCTCAGCACGCCAGGCCCCTCCTGGAAACACAGATGCCCCACCTTGTGAGATTAAGTTCATGAATACTACAGTGACTTATTTGTGTAACAGAGGAGCTGGAGATGCAAATGCAGATTTCCAGGCCCTCACTGGGTTCGCTTCCTCCAGGCTCCGCCCACTCCTCGGAAGGCTCCACTTTTCCTTAAAGGACCAGCACCCTCTTAAACAATGACTCAGTCTGTCTGGATAGAGGGATCCCCTGGGGAAGGAAGGGGCGGGAAGGACTTAGGGTCATGTGCGGGTGTCTGGTGAAGGCCAGTAACACTCCCCTTTTGTCTTCCAGGGTCAATGGGGATGAGTTTGAACTTAGAAGGAGAGTGGCATTATCTATAGACGCTGGACTCAAGAGAAGTGTGAGTGTGAATGTCTGTGGGGACTGGGTTGGAGGCTGTGTGACTTCAAACCTTCGTAAGACTTCTGGACTCCAGTAGTGGGCCCGGCCAGAGCAGGGTCAGCCTGTGTCTCCGAACTGAGGGCTCTCCGGGGCTGGGCGGGAAGATGATTCATTCATCCATCCATCCATCAACTCACTCATCCATCCATATATTTCATCTCTCCACCCACCTACCCACCATCCACCAAACATCCATCCACTCACCATCCATCCAACCATGCATTCATTCACTCATTCATTCATTCATCTATCCACCGACATACCCACCATCCACCCTCCCCCGCATTGATCCATCTGTCCACGTGTCCACCCATTTGTCAACTTAGCCATGCATTCCCCCACCTACCTACCCGCCCATCCATCCACCCACCCATACATTACTTACATCTCCAAACATATATTGAACCCTCACTCCATGCCCTTACATGCCTCAGGTAGAATCCAGCTCTTGAGAAGGTTCTGGGCTTCTGAGGAAGTGGACATCAGAAGTCAATGACAATCCAGTGCAGCAGATGAAACAATAAAACACAGCTTGCTCAAAGGAGGGAGTCATCAGCTATCCCTGAGATGTCAGGGAAGACTTTGTAGAGGAAGTGTCCTCTGGGTGGGGCACTGAAGGATGAATAGGAGTCCACTGGGTAAAAGTCGGGGGCAAGGTAGTAGGGTGCATTCTTTTACTCTCCCAGGTCTTAAGACTTTAGAACATCTTCTCATTTAGCCTTCACAAGAATCCCAAGAGGGAAAGATTATTATTATTTTCATTATGCAGATGAGAATGCTAAGGCTCAGAGAGAAGAGGTCACTTATGTTGGTTCATTGAGCTCAGAAAAGCATAGGGAACAGCATGTGCAAAGTCCCAGGGTTGATGAGCAGCCTGGAGTTTCTAAAGCACAGATCAGATCTTGACTCTTTCCTGGATTAAAACTCTTCTGTGGCTCCCTAGTGCCCTCTGGATAAAGTCCAGACTCCTTAGTTTAGCATCTATTCATTCATTCATTCATTCATTGAGTACACATTCTCTGAACTCCTCTGTGCCCAGCCCTGTGCTGAGTGATGCTGGGGACACCACAGTGACCATGACAGCTCCAGCCTTGTCCTCATGGGACTCATAATTCAGTGGGAAAGACAGACCTGTCCCCAGACAGTGACAACCCAGAGTGCTCAGGGCCAGGATGAGGGGACCCAGGTACTGGAGGGGCCTGGGGGGGGGTGGGGATCACACTCAGGCTGGAGGGTTCAGAGAGGATTTCCTGGAGGAGGGGCCATCTGACCCAGCCTGGAGGATTCAGGGAGGGTTGCCTGGAGGAGGGGACTTTAGAGCTGAGACCAGGCTAACAGGAGGAGTGATGCAGGAAAAGAAGGAACAGCACGTGCAAAGGCCCAGCGCACTTAGCAACTTCATGGCTGTGAGCCAGCCCCTCCACACACACATGAGAGGGAGGAAGGGTTGCGCTGAGCTGAGGCTAGTGAGTCGGTGGGTGAGTGGGGAATTCAGGGCCAGCAGGAGGGCTGCGAGATGAGAGTGGAGACCTGGGAGGGCTGAGGCCTGGAGGGCACTGGAGGCCTAAGCCTGAGAAGGAGAATGGCTGGGTGTGTTCAGAGCCTGGCAGGCCTTTGGGGGGTCTCAGCTCTGCCCTGATGAATCATGGACAGGTGTGGCCTGGTCTGAGTGTCGGGGGTCCTCTGGGATCAGGAGGATGGAGGTCCCCCACTTCTTTCTGCTGCCCTTGACTTTTGCCCCTTGTCTCTCTGTTCTGCCTGTCTCTCTGCCTCGTTCTTTCTCTTTCCACGTCTTCATCTCTGATTCCCTGGATGTTTCTTCCTCTGTCCCCCTCTGTCTCTCTCTCCTTGTCTTTCTCTAAGGCTCTCTTGGTCTCGACGTCTCCTTGTCTCTTTCTCATCTCAGTCTGTCTCTCTCCCCCCTCCATTGCTGTTCTGATTCTGTCTCTCTGTTTCTCTGTCTCCCTGTGTCCCTCTCGCTGTGGGGCCGGTGGGGCCAGCCCCCCTCCCCCGCTCCTGACTCAGCCTCTCCTGCCCCCTCCACAGACCCCAGCCTCCGGACCACGACCACCAGGCTCACACCTGGTTCTGGTTCCGCTTGGCCCTCTGGCTTCAGGACCCACCTCCTCCGGCCCCCTCACTCAACGCCTACCTCCCTGGGGCCCCGCCGGGACACGGGGGGCCTGAGCGCCCCCTTGAGGGCCTCTCAAGGACAAAGACAAGGCCTCCAGGCCCTGCGCCCCACTTCTGCCCTCACCTCCGCCCAGAACCTGAGCTGAGATCCTGGGCCCGAGTCTTCGGAAGATGGTGGCTGGGGGTCCCCCCGCCTCCAGGACAAGGAAGGGATTGGAGGTGGGCTGGGGCCATGAGGGACGGGGGTTCACCTGGACCCTACATTTTGGAGACGTTCCCTTCATCCCCCAGCCCGCCCCCCTCCCCTCTCCGCCTACCTCCCTTCTCTGATGTCTTCTACTTTGTTTTTAACGATAAAGTCTTAAAAACAAAAAGCCACCCCTCTGGATTCTTGTGTCTCTTCCAAGACTCAAATCCTCATCAGAGTGAGGCTCACGCATCACTCCTGATGAGAACCATCGATGCTCTTTATCCTGCCGTCTCCGCGGGCTCTGTGTGTATCGGTTAGCTATCGCTGTGGAACAAACACCCCCAAATTTTGCAGCTCCAAAGGCCAAGTGTTTTTAGCTCATTATTCTGCAGGTTGGTGTTTTATTCTAGGCCCAGCTGGGCAGTTCTGGTGGTTTCAACAGGGTCCTCTTGTGTATCCGTGGGCAGCGACCGGTCACCAAGGGGCCTCTGCTCCCGGCGGTTGGCTGGCTGGTGGCAGGGGCCACAGGAGTGACTGGGCCGCGTGGTGGCATCGCCCCAAGGGCTGTCTGGTTTGTTCACATAGAGAGCTGGTTGGACTCTGGCCGGGGGCCTCCTGAGACCCCAGCTCGGATCTGGCACGTGGTTTTCTCTGCTGCATTCTCCGGCCACCAGAAGTGGCCAGGCCAGCCCAGATTCCAGGGAGCAGAAACAGACCCCACCCCTCACGGGGCTGCAAACTCACACTGGAAGAGATGTGGGCACATGGAAGGATGGAGGAGTGTGGCCGTTTTTGCATCGATCTCCCACGCTGTGGTTCAGATTCCTTTCTCCGTTTGTCCCCTGGGAGACGGGGAGGCGGGGCACTGACCAACCTTGCCATGACGGATGTGGGTTCAAATCCTACCACTTGCTGTGCTGCCTTGAGCAGGGCACTTCCCTGCTCTGGGGCATCAGCATCCATCTCTGGAAAGTGGGGAAAGAGGCAATCCCTGCTCATAGGACAGCTGTGCCAATTGATGGCGGTGTTGCAGGGGCCGTGTGAGGACGGGGCCCGCTCAGGCCCAGGCAGAAGTCACCATCTATACCTGGAGACCCTGATGGGCTGACCAGGCCCCTGGGGTCCTCAGCTTCCCAGACCTGCCTCCCCCAGAGAGACCGAGAAGGCAGAGTGGGGTCTCTCTCTAGTCCTGTTCCTCTCACTGTGTGTCTCTGTCTCCATCTCTTCCGGTTTCTGGCTCTCTCCGGGGTCTTTGCTTCTTCCCATCCCCCACTGCCGCTCAGCCCCTCTCCTGGGTGCCGCCAGGCCCTTCCCTGTCCCTCCTTCAATCTGTACGGGGACATGGTGCAGAGATGACACGCCTCTCAGGGCGGCCCCACCCTGGTCATGCTCATGTCTGCTCTGTGTTCGAGGCCCCTGGGCACCTGCGTGTGTCGTGGTGGATGTGGGGGCGCCACGAGAGGTGTATGCCCTGAGCCCCACCCAGGGGAGCCCGGGCTAAGAGACTCACACAGAGACAATACAGAGTGAGATGCTAGATCCAACTGGTGCCCAGATTCACGCTTACGCTTAGAAATACGCACAACCAGGGGCCGGCCCAGTGGCGCAGCGGTTAAGTTTGCACATTCTGCTTCAGGGTTCACTGTTTCAGATCCCGGGTGCGGACATGGCACCGCTTAGCGCGCCATGCTGTGGTAGGCGTCCCACGTATAAAGTAGAGGAAGATGGGCACGGATGTTAGCTCAGGGCCAGTCTTCCTCAGCAAAAAGAGGAGGATTGGCAGATGTTAGCTCAGAGCTAATCTTCCTCAAAAAAAAAGAGAAAGAAAAGAAAAAGAAATACGCACAACCAGACACCCCAACACACACACAGAGAAGAACAGACACACACGGGACACACACTAAGATAGACTCGCCCTCAGAAACACGCAAAGAAACACAGCTACACACAGACACGGAAACACACACACACTGGGAAACTCTGGGAAGAGCCACAGAGAAGCCACCCACACACTTATGTTTTCACACTCACATTTGCACACAGACACATGCTCACGCATCACACGTAGTCACACACTTATGCTCACACATTCACACTCGCACATAATCACAAATATATTCTCACACATACATACACATGTTCACACTCACACTTGCTCATACATGGTCATACAAAGCACACACTCAGATGGGCGTGTCTGTCCTCACTCCTGCTCACACGTGCTGATGCTTGCACACTCGGAGACGTCACACCCGGGGAGAGCGCCCACAGGACGTGGCAGAGGCCGACACACACGCTCAAGCAGGCGGCGTTGCCAGCGACCCAGGAAAGTTCCAGAAAGGGTCACCCGGAGCTACCCTCGGAAACACTCGTGTGCGGCCCACAGACGGACAGGCAGGACAGCCTGGACCCAGACTCCAGCCCGACCCGCCTGTGTTCAAGTCCCTGTTCTGCCACTCACCACGAGGCCTTGGTCCCCGGACGAGGTGGCCGTCATCAAACATCCCTCGGGGGACCGTCCCCTGCTGCTGCCTCCAGGCTCCGCCCGCCCTGCTCGTTGTTCCCAGACTCCACTGAGCTCCGTGCGATTCGATTCTCGAGGCTTAGGCTCCGACCTTGGTGGAGACTGCCCGGGCCGGTCCCTTCCGGGGCCTCTGTCCTGGCTGCTCCCCCTGCCTGGGACACCCTTCCTGGCTCAGAGGTCGCCTCTGCAAAGACCAGGAGCAGCCAAACCAAGGCAGCCCCCTTGTGACCCTCACTTGTGGCCCCGACGCCGCCTCCCTGGGATTCACGCTGTTACCTGTTCGCCCCGCTCCCTTGTCACTCATTCATTCAGGCGGCTGCATTCCCTGGGCCCGCCCTCTCTGCGGGTCCCTGCACGTCGCAATCAAGACCTCCGCCCACGGGGACTGACGTCCACAGTGGACCCCATAAACTGAGCGCTCCTGTAGCCTGCAAGAAGATGACGCGGGTCATAAAAAAGTAGAGCCGGGTCGGGCGGGGGTGGGCCTGCCACCCTTACACCTGCGTCCCCTTCCTCTGCGGCGTGCTCTGTGCCAGGCCCCGTTCTAGGAGCTTGACACCCACCGACCGGGTCAACCCCACCGCTGAGCCTCAGACGGGGGGACCATCACGCTCCCCACTTCCCGGAGGAGGAAACCAAGGCCCAGAGAGGCAGATCGCTCGCCCGGGGTCACACAGTTGCCACGCGTGGGTCTCAGAAGCTTGCGCGCTAGACAGTCCTCCTGTCATTTTTAAAAAATATAATTCGAAGGTGCTATGATTTTTAAAGGGCCTAACGCGAACTATTTTCTGGGTTAGATACGGATTTGGGGACTATGGTCAGTGTTTCTCTCTCCCCAAACCCCCCAGGACTGAAGTGGGATGGATGAGGGATAGACAGCTGGAAGGACTTCCGACAGCCCCCCTTTGAAGGCGGGTGGTGGGGAGGGCTATGGGGGCGGGGCGGGGCCCAGGCCTGAGGTCTGACACAAGGGTTCAGGGTTCCCGCAGCCCCTGCCTGGCCTGGGGAGGGGGATGGGGCACACGGGGTGGGGGAGGGGCAGCTCCTTGCCCCCCCCCCCCCACCTTTCTGGGGGCCTGCGAATGCCTCCCACTTAATCTTCTCTAATGAAACCGATTGGCTGTGCCACCCGCGAGGAGGGAAATTGGGCTGGAGGTTAATTGTAACTAAAAATACCTCCTCCACGCCCCTGGGTGAGGAACCAGGGGCTGGACCCCATTCCAAGGCCACCTGTGCAGGGGGTGGGCGTCGCTGAGCCGGCTGCGCCCCGAGGAGGTGGGCAGCCTGATGGGTCTGTGAGGTGGGCTGTGTGGGGCGGATGGGCAGGGCCAGGCGGTCTCGGGTCCGTGTGTGTGTGTGTGTGTGTGTGTGTGTGTGTGTGTGACCGTCGTGTGGCTATGGCGAGGGTGGACTCAGGACTGGGGTCCACGTGCCACCGCGGGGAGGGCGCCCCCAGGACTGTGTCCTCAGCCGAGACTGTTCCTGAAGGGGGTGTGTGTGTCTCCGAGGGCGGCTGTGTCTGTCCCACGGTGCCCGGTCTAGGTCGCATGTCTCTGTGCGAGCCTGTGTCTGTCACAGCCAGATCTGGGTGTCCCCAGACTCTGTGTGCCGGTGGCAGTGTCTCGCTGTGTGTGGCTGCGTGGCGTCTTGTGAATGACGTGTTGGGGACCGTGTGACCCTGGGTCATCCGGCCCGGAAGCCTCAGAATGTGGCAGGCGATGAGCTGGGCTCCCTCCAGAGGGCGCTGGGGACCCAGGGAAGGGGTTTTTGGTTTTTTGGAAGCTTCATTGAGATGTCATTCACATACCATCAAATGCACTCATTCAAACGGTTCAGTTCGGTGGCTGTCCTATATTCACAGAGTCGCGCATCTCTCGCCACAACCTACTGGGGAACGTTTTCGTCACCCCAAAAAGACACCTTCGACTTCTTAGTCACTCCACATTGCCCACAACCCCCAACCCTGGGCAACCACCCGTCCCCTTTCTGGCTGGACACATTTGCCTGTTCTGGACATTTCACATAAATTTATGGTCCTTTGTGTCTGGCTTCTTTTGCTCAGCGTGGTGTTTTCGAGGCTCTTCCATGTTGTAGCCTGGATTGGTGCTTCGTTCCTTTTCATGGCTGAATAGTATTCTGTCTTGGAAGGATTTTGAGCAGAGAAAGGACTGGGTCGGGTGTGTGCTCTGCCCTCGGGCGGCCATGTGGAGGGGGGGTTTAGAGGGGGTGTGGTGGGTTGAGCTGTGTCCCCCAGAGAGGTAGTCTGGAGTCCTAGTTCCAGCGCCTGTGAACATGACCTGATTTGGAAATAAGGTCTCGGCAGATGTTCAAGTTAAGATGAGCTCACAGGGTGCGGTCTAACCCGATACAACTGTGTCCTTACAAATAGGGGACATTTGGGCACAGAGAGACATGCAGAGAGGGAGAAGACAGCCATGCAGAGATGGAGGACTGGAGCGATGCAGCCACAAGCCAAGGAACGCAGATGGCCAGCAGAGCGCCGGAAGCCAGACGAGGCCAGGAGGGACCCCTGCAGGTTTCACAGGGTGCACGGCCCTGCCGCCACCTTGATTTGGAACTTCTGGCCTCCAGAAGTGTGGGAGAATATGTTTCTGTCATTCTGAGTCACCTATTCCGTGGTCCTTTGTTATGGCAGCCGTGGGAAACAGGCACGGGGAGGCGGGGAGGAGCCGGGCCAGGGCAGGCACACGGGAGGGGAGGGGGCGGGTCAAGAACTACTTAGGAAGGTGCGCAAGGAAACAATATCCAGAACAGAGCCGCTCTATAGAGATGAGGGCGCCATCAAACTACTATGTCACCTAAAGATGGTCCATGTGCTGTCCCCAACAGCTCATGGCAGGCGGGTAAAATGGCAACACACAACTGGGTCCCTCAGAGAACGTGGTTCCTTTGGGGTTGGGGGTGAAAATGGGGTTTAGAGGAAAAGGAGTGAGCCATCAGCGTTGGATACTCCCGAGATGAGGACAGAAGAATAATGGTTGGAGGTCACCAGTGACCTTGACCGGAGCAGCAGCAGTGGGAGGAGGGGGGCAGAGGCTGACAGGGAGGAGGGGAGGAGAGCGGGAGGTGAGGACGTGATGTAAGGACGCCACAGGGGCCCAAGGGTGTAGGTACAAGGAAGTTCATTTCTGCCAAAGCCTGGAGATGACCCCGGGTGTGTTGAATGGTGATCAGCAAATTGAATGATTCTGGTCCATCCCAGATGACCCCAATGATGGAGTGATGGCCCACAAAAAAATGAGATGTATTTAAAAAGAAAAAAAAAAAAAGAAGGAAGTGGGGCCAGGCTGGTGGCTTAGTGGTCAGGGTTCCACGGTCTGGGCTTCGCAGGTTCAGATCCCAGGCGCAGACCTACACATCGCTCATCAAGCCATGTTGTGGTGGCATCCTGCATACAAAATGGAGGAAGATTGGCACAGATGCTAGCTCAGGGCCACTCTTCCTCACCAAAAAAGAAGAAGGACGCACAAAGGACAAGGCTTGGAGATTGATTGGATGTGGCAGGTAAGGGGGAAGAAAAGTCTAGATCTGTCCTCAGATTTATGACTTGGGAACTGGCCCTGTTTCTCTCTGATGTCACACAAGGGGACTGACGAGCACACCTTGGTTACCTTCCTCCTTGCTTTGGGGGCAATCGTAGCGGCTGTTTGTTGAGCACCTGTTATGTGCTAAGCACTGTTCTGAGTACATGGATCAGCTGGGCACGGGTATCATCTCCACTCATGGGCAGGAAAACAGATGTAGAAATTGAGGAGGACGCTTTCTCCCTGCCCGCCCCAGCCCTGAGGTTCTCCGGTGCAGCGATGACCAGCACCAGGGGCTGGTGAACATAGGCCACCGGCTCCCTCTGTGGCTGTGCCAGATCTGCCCAGCGGACACTCTGAACGCCGCCGAGAGGAGTTACAGCAGCCCTGGAAGCCTCGTTTGAGAGGGAGCGATATACCATGTTCATGGACGGGCAGCCTTGGATCACTCACTGTGGTTCAAATGTCACCGCGTCCGTTCTCCCTAAACAGCTGCAGAGTCAGGACAACCCCAGCTCACATCCCGGCAGGCTTCTGGAGAAATTACAAACTGGTCCTAAAATGCGTATGGAAACGCACAGGACTTAGAATGAACTGTTTTGACAAAGAAGAAAGTTGTAGGATTTATGCCACTGGACGTCGACGTACCGTGATGCTACTGCGATCAGAACAATGTGGCAGAGGGACGAGCTTCGACCGACAACTCGATGGGGTAAAGCCAAGAAATAGGCCCACGAGGACGGGGTCCGTTGATCTTCAATAAAGGCGTCCAATTAATTCAAAGGGGGGATGACAGCGTCCACAACAACGGGGCTGGTAACAACTGACCCCACACGTGGAAAGATGAACCTTGACTCTTAACTCATGTTATCACAGAAACTAACTGGACGTAAAGGAGAAGTCTAAAACTATGAAACTTCTAGGAGAAAAACTTCACGACCTTGGGGGTAGGCAACGATTTCTCAGGTTTCACGCAAAAAGTACAAATGATAAAAAATAATAAAAATAAAAATTCAAAAATAACAAATTAGTAAGTAATAAATACAAATAAGATAAAAATAAGTGCACATATAAAAATAAAATAAGTTAAAAATTATTAAAAATAAAATAAAAATAAATAGATAAAATAAAAAGAACTAAAAATAATTTAAAAGTACAAATAAAAGAAAATGATAAACTGGATTTCATCAAAATTGAAAACTTCTGCTCTGCAGAAGACACTGTTAAGAAAATGAAAAGGCAAGTGCAGACAAAGAAAATATTCACAATACATATATTTGACAAATGTATTTATATTTAAAGAAATATATATTCTATAAGTTATATATTTATTATATAAATAACTTTCAAATCAATTAGAAAACAATCCCTTTATAAGAGGGAAAATATTTAATATAAACTACAAGAAGGAGATAGACAAATGGTTAATAAACCCATGAGAAGATACTTGATAAAGGTAGTCATCAGGGAAATGTAATTAAAATTGCAATAAATGCCACTAGAATGGTTAAAATGAAAAATACCGACAATACCCAGTCAGATACGGCACAGCCGGAGCTCTCATACGTTGCCAGTGGGAGCGCCAACTGGTAAGATGACTTCGGAATACGATTTTAAAGAATCTACTAAAACTGGACCCACGCGTGCCCTACGACCCGGCAGACCCACCGCTGGATTCCTACTCCCCAGAAACGCACACGCGTGTTCACCAAAAGCCAGGAGCCGTGTGCTCGCGGCATTGTGTGTAACTGGAACCAAGCCAAATGCCCATCGACAAAAGAACGGATAAATAAATTGTGACTAGTTCATACATTAGAATGGATCAACCACAGCTCCATGCAACAGAATGTTGAGCAAGAAAAGCCAGACACAAAAGAATACATTTTTTTGAAGATCTAGAACAGGCAACATAGCCAATGGTGTTAGAAGTCAGAATTTTAGGAGCTGGCCCCGTGGTCTAGTGGTTAAGTTCAGCGTGCTCCATTTTGGTGGCCAGGGTTCAGTTCCTGGGTGCAGACCTACACCACTTGTTGGCGGCCATGCTGTGGTGGCGACCCACATACAAAATAGAGGAAGATTGGGACAGATGTTAGCTCAAGGCAAATCTTCCTCAGCAAAAAAAAAAAAAAAAAAAAAAAAGGTGCTCACTCCTGCGAGTGGGGGAGTGGGGATGGGGTGGAGCACCAGCCAGGCTGCTGGAGAGCTGGTCAGGGTTTGTCTCTTGGTCTGGATGCTGGTGGCCCAGGGATGTTTCACTTTCTAGGAAAATTCATCAAGCTGTTCAGTTACGACTTGTGTACTTCTTGTGTATTACGCTTCAAGAGGAAGTTTTAAAAGATTGTTGAGTGAATGCGTGCCTGCTTTGCATTTTGAAAGATCCTGCTAAAGTGCCTTCCAGAGCAGCGGTGTAAACTCCCCTCCAGGTGGATGAAAGCGCCCCTTTGTTTCCCCACGGCCTCCTGGCAGCGAGCAGCACCTGGACCACCCCACTGGGTGAAAAACGACATGTCCATGAGGTTTATTTCATGCAGTTGTGAGAATGCCGAAGCCTCAGGCCCAGCTGGAGTTTTTGTTCTCCCCTATTTCCCCAGATCATTAATGGGTAGTTAGAACTTCTGGTACCATGAAGGGCCAGAGAATTCACTCTTGAGAGGCTGTGATCCCTGGGTCCTCAATTCTGACAGGTGCCCTGATGGCCATCTCTGGGCATTAAGAGTCTCCTCCCCTCTTCCAGCAGGTTCCTTCAGACTCACTCCCCAGAATGGATTTATTGAGTCAGAGACTGGAGTTTGCTTAAGCCTTTTTTTTTTTTTTTTTTTTTTTGCTGAGGAAGATTGGCTCTGAGCTAACATCTGGGCCAATCTTCCTCTATTTTGTATGTGGGTCACCACCACAACATGGCCACCAACGAGTGGTATAGGTCCACATCAGAGAAACAAACCCGGGCTGCCAAAGCAGAGTGCACCAAATTTAACCACTAGGCCACGGGGCCGGCCTCTTGCTTAAGGCTTTTTGGCAGACACTGGATGGCTTCCATTTTCAGCACCCCCACCTCACATGCAAATAAAAAGCACTCTGTTTCTTGACTGTAGGACTTTCATGTTATTTTATGTTTTAAGAGGAGAAAAGGAGGAACAGCCTTGAGAAGCCGTGATGTTCTTGAGATTTGGCTGGACAGGGCTTGGGGTAAGGAGCTATCAGTTTGGCCTCTCCCTTCCTCCATTTATTTCCCCATTTTTAATACCTCAGTTTGAGGAAGATATTTTCAGGGGTCCTAATAGAAAAGGGATAGAGATCTGACAACCAGAAAATGAAGACGTTTTGAGTGGCTAAGGCACCATAAACAAGGCCAAAGACAAGCAGCAGACTGGGAGCAATGTTTGTAACATCTATGAAGATACTTAAGATCTGTAATATATAAAGAGCTGCTACAAACCAACAAGAAAATGACAAAGAGCCTAGGAAGAACACAGTCAAAAGATCTGAGCCAGCACAGAAGAGGAAACACAAACGGCCCAGAATAATAGGCAAAGATGCTCAGGCTCACAGGGGACATAAAAATAACATAAACAGGCACAGCCCGTTCAGAAGGACATTTGGGAGAATCTATCAAATGACCTGTAAAAACGCACCTTCCCTGGGACCAGTGATTCGATCTCCAGAAATTTATCCTACAGATACACACATATCTGGAAATGACATGTGTATCAGGATACTCATGCCAGCTTCGTTTGTAGGAACAAAGGATTGCAAACAGCTTACAGGTCTCTCCATACTGGCCTGGTTAAACTGATGTTCAGCACAACCCATGTCGTGAACCGCTGTGCAGCCACGCGAAAGAATGAGCAGGCTCTATGCCGGTTCAGAAAGATCTCCAAATTAGCCCAAATGGAAAAAAGCAAGTTGCAGAACCGTATGATCCCATTTTTTGAAAAATCAAAACATTTTATTTCCGTATGCACGTCCTTGAGCAGAATCCGACACAAGACGCAGCAAAATGATGCCCAGTGACCCTGACTGATGGTCACCTCTGCGGAGGGGCAGGCGGGGCGGCGAACGGCGATCAATTTCACTGAGGTCTAGTTTACATGTCACCAAATGTCAACACATTCTGACAAACACACCTGTGTAGCCACCACCCCAATCAAGACACAGAGCATCTTCAACCCCCAGAAGGTTCCCTGGTCCCCCCTCTTCTAGTTGGCGCCTCGGCCCCAGGCAACCACTGACCTGCTTCCTGTCCCCCTTTATGAGACTCGCCTTTTCTAGACTTTCATGTAAATGGAGCCACACAGCACGCGCTGGATCTACCGCGCGCTCTCTCTTCTCCCGGTGTTTAGGGTGCTTCCAGTTTGGGGCTGTCATGGATAAAGTTGCTATGAACATTCTCCTTTTTTTTTTTTTTTTGCTTTTTCTCCCCAAATCCTGCCAGTATGTAGTTGTATATTTTTAGTTGTGGGTCCTTCCAGTTGTGGCATGTGGGACGCCGCCTCAGCGTGGCCTGATGAGCGGTGCCCTGTCCGCGCCCAGGATCCGAACCTGCAAACCCTGGGCCGGCGAAGCGGAGAGCGGGAACATAACCGCTCGGACCGGGGCGGCCCATGGACATCCTCATACAAGGTCTTCCGCGCACGCGTTTCCATTTCTCGCGCGTAAACCCGCAGGAGAGGCTTTGCCGTCAGATGCTGAGCGCGGCCGTGAAGATGCACACTGAAGGGAAACCTCATTTAAACCGGAGTCGGGAGCCGGGAAGGGGGCGCCCCGGCCGGGCGGGGCCCATTGCAGGAAGGGCTGTCAATCAAAGACCCCAACGGGAAGACAGCCACAGCGCGGCCCGACAGGAACCCACGACCCCCACGACCCCCGCGGCGCAGCCGATGGGAAACGGTGCGCACCCCGCAGTCTCCACTCCCCCCAGCGGACTCTCGTTCCAAACCCCACCCAGCAACTTCGTCCTCCTGCCCTGTGCAATGACCTCTCCGTCGCCCGCTGGACGGGCCTGCGGCTGCGGCCCCCGCCCGTCCCTGTGTTTCCCAGGCGCCCGTCCTCCGCCTCCCGCCGGCATCACGAGGCCCCAGGAGACCCGCGTGGCCCCGGCTGCGGGTCTGTCCCCACGGCCTCTCTGGGGCCTCGTCCGTTTAAGCGTTTGGCCTGTTTTCTGCCGGTCCGCCTGTCCTCCCTGACTTGGGGGAGCTCCTTCTGTATCCCGGACGCCAGCGCTCGTGGGACGTGCGTCCTGCACACCTTCCTGCGCGCGGCCTGCCCGCCCTTTGAGTGGTGCCCGTTGCTGGACAAAGTTCTCGCCCTCGCGGCCCTGCACCGCGCTCCGCTCTCCTGCCCGGTTGGCGTCCTGATAAAGACCCTCAGCCACGGCTCTCCGAGCATCCTGTCCAGGCGCAGACCCCGCCTCCAGCACGCGTCCTGCCGGCCCTCGCGCACATGCGCAGAGGCGCGCGCGGTTCCCGGGGTCCCTGCGGTCCGGGCGGCAAAGGGGGGTGTCCCGCGATGCTCCGGCCGCCGGAGCCTCAGGCCCCCTGGCTTGTTCAGGCCCCGCCCCTATTTGTGTTTACAGTTCTGTAGTTTTTACCAAAGAGGGCCCCCAAAATTGTAGGAGCTTCAGGCCCCACAAAACCTGGATCCACCCCCGATTGTATCAGAAAATCGGAAGCCACGACACTCACCAATCGGGTAATGGCTGACTAAACGACGCTGTGGAGCTCTGCTTGGCTGTTAAAAAGCAAGCTCCACACGCAGCAGAGAATTGTGTTTAAGAGCACGAACTCAGGGGCCAGACACTCTGGACTCAAAACCCAACACTGCTACATACTCGCTGTGCAACCTTGCGCTGGTTACTCAACCTCTCTGGGCCTCAGCTTCTCCATCTGCAAAACGGAGGGTAACGAGAGTATTTATCTTGCGGGACTGTCTCAAAGTTCAAGTGAGTCCATATACAGAGTGCTTAGAACAGTGCCTGGCACAGAGGGGCACCGTTGCGTGTTGGCTACAATACGAGAGCATGTGCGATTTCTCTTGCAAGTTGTTCGGAAACACAGATGGCTAAAAAGGAGAAATTCTGCAGTCTGTGCTAAACACTGCTCCCAAATGCTCTCACCTTTTGACCCTGATGGCCTCTCAGGAACGAGTCCTAAGGAAGTGGCCGGAAGTCTGGGGACAAGCACACAGCAGAGGCAGGCCGCCAGAGAGCTGGGGAGGGGGGAGGAAGCGCTGTCCGGGTCGCGGGGAGGGAGGCGTCTGCAGCCGGACCGCGGGCTCGGCCCCGGGGAACGCCGGGCCATGTGGATGTGCCGCTCTGGGTAAAGCCACTGGGTCTCCCGGTCCGCAACGTGCTCAGCCCACGACCCCCGCCCAGAGCCCCTCGGGGGGACTCCAGGGCACTCCTTTTCCTTACTATTTTCTCCAGCTTTTCCAAGTTTTCTATAACGGAGAAAACTTTTTAAAAACAGGAACCCAAGAAATGGACAACATTCCTGCAAGAAGATGTATGCAAAGACAGTGCCTATTGTGTTACTGGAAGAGAAGAGAAGAGAACCGATGCAAAGGCCGAGCCGGGAACAGGGCTTAGCAAGGAGCTGAACGGCGCGCCGAACAATGCGCCCTTTCACGGCTCCAGCAAAACCTAATTTTGGAAGAATTCACAATGACCTGGAGAAATACTCCAAACTAGCCACAGAGAAGCATTCAACGGAGAGGTCAGAGAACGACACACAGCGGAACCTGGACGAGTTACAAGAGGGGTGCGGACACGCGGGCAGAGGCCTGGGGAGACACCTGAGCCCAGGGGGGGCGGGGAGCGGTGGGCGGGCGTCCCCTCCCTCGGCTGCTGTCTTCTCATTTCTCCCCGTCCCTCACTGGGGACACGGCTGGGCCGGGCGGCCTCCCCCACCGTCCTGGCAGCAGAGGCCGGAGGTGGCAGCCATGTCGCCCAGACGCCCTGGAGCTGGACTCGGACGTAGCACAGGCTTCGGCGGGTGGGGTCCCTCCAGAGCCGGGACCCCGGGTCACGGCCAGGCTGGGCGCTGCTGAGCCCCGTGGTTCAGAGGCAGCAGGGCCCCGGCGCGTGGCTCTGTGCTGTCGTCCTGGGTCCTTCCCAAGGGCCCGGCCCAGAGCCACTGCCCCAGCCTCCCGCCGTCTCGTGAGCACCCGATTCCGTGTTAAATCCCTTCCTGTTTGAAGCACCTGCAGTGGCTTCTGTTTAGGCTCCAATCCCACCCGAGGCCGCCACGCGTTGCTTTGACACTCAGGAAAAAATATATATATACACAAAAAGGGCTTCCCCAGGGTCCCGCGTCAAGACGGAACCTCGGGGCAAAGGGCAGTTGAGCTGGGCTCACTGGCCAGAGCAAAGCGCTGCAGGCGCAGAGTGCAGAGTCTCCCCGCGGCCTCGAGCTGTCGAAGGTTGTCACACGCACCCTCGTCTGCGCCACGGCCAGTCACACTGACTGATTTTCAAATGCGGAACCAACGTGGCCGCCCCGGAAGAAGCGACGCCCGGCCGTGAGCTGCTCTGCTGTTTGCACATCGCTGAGCGGGAGGCGCCGGACCTTTACAAGGGATCTCTGTGTCCGCGCTCACGGAGGACGTCGGTCCACAGCCTCCTTTCCGGAGTCGTCTTTGGTTTTGGCGTTAGAGCCATGCTGCCCTCGTGAACTCGGCCAGAGGCGGCCTCCCCACCGTGAGGGAGCTGTCGTCGAGCACAGTGCCTCATTCTTCCGTGTCTGCTCCAGGTCACCAGGGAGCCACCCCCCACCTGTTCTCTGCGTCTGTAACTATGAATTCAATGTCCTGGGGCCAGCTCAGTGGTGTACTAGTTAAGTTCCCATATTCTGCTTCAAAAGCCTGGGGTTCGCAGGTTCGGATCCTGGGCGTGGACCTACACACTGCTCATCAGCCATGCTGTGGTCGCATCCCACATACAAAATAGAAGAAGATGGGCACAGATGTTAGCTCAGGGCCAGTCTTCCTAACAAAAAAAATAATAAAAAGTAAATAAAAAATACAATGTCCTTAACAGATACGCACAGCGGTCCAGTGTATCTATTTCTTCTCGGGTGAGCTTTGGTAGTTTGTCTTTCAAGACATTTCCCATTTCAGCCGAGTTGTGTGGTTTACGGCATCCGGTCGTTCAGTGTCCCCCGTCCCTTCCGTGTCTGTAGGGCAGGCGTGGCCAGCCGGGGAGGACGCAGGGATGGCTGAGAACGGCCCCTGGACCCTGAGCAGGAGCGGCCTGGAGACCACGCTGTGAGCGGGCCTGTGGTGCAGCCATGGGCCCAGGTGAACAGGGACACACACGGTCCCCCTGCCCAGTCTGGAAGGGACCCTGTGGCCGGGCCAACACCGAGGCTGCCGAGTTTGAGGGAAAGCAGAGGCCACGAGCACACTCGGGAGGCAGCAGCGGCAGGGAGCCCAGGCCCTGCACCCGGACCCTGGAGGCCCTGCTCGCCCTCGACTCCCACACAGGGCCAGGCCACCTTGATGGCAGACCGCAGCAGGAGGGGCGAGAGGCAGACCACGCGGAGGACCGCCACAGGCAGCTGCCGCTGTCTGGAAGGGCAGGCTTGAGGGTCCGCGTCAGCAATAAGGCTTTATTCACATGTTCCCCCCACTTCCTGCGGGGCTGAGCCCAGGCCGGGGGTTCGGGCGCGAGTCCTCGTCCCGGCCCGGCTGGCTCACACATGCTGCCTCCGGTGCCGCAGCACCTCCGTGGGCGTGAACAGAAAGTCCTGCTGGCAGGCCTCACAGTGGTAGGGCCTCTGCAGGGCAGACGCCTTCTGGGGGGGCTCGGGGGCGGCCTCCTCGGCCCCTAACAGAGAGAAGAAGGGGGACAGTGAGGGGGGCGCTCCACTGTGTGCTCTCCCGCCCACCCCACAGCCCAGGCGCCGGGGGGCTCAGGCTCTCTCGCAGCCTTTGGGGAATCCGGCTCTGCCTCCTCCAGGAAGCCTTCCTTGATTAACACGCAGGGCCAAGTCTTTACTCTGTGTCCCATGGGGTAAGAGACAGAGAGGAAGAAACAAGGAGAGCCACATAGGCTGCTGAGACAGACAGAGCGAGCCCTGGGGTGGGGACCGTGTGGTCCTGCTGTCGTCTCCCCCACGAGCCCTGTGTGGTGTGTGGTGTGGCAGACACCATGTCAGTGTCTGCTCACTGTGGCGTCCCCTGGGGGACAAGATGGTGGATGTGGCCAAGGCAGAGAAAGAGCGACCAAAGACACAGAAAGACAGACAGACAGAAATGAGACAGAGCTGGCGCTCCAGGCCCTCCTTGTCCCGGGCTCTGGGTCTGTGACGAAGTCCACACGGGGCACCAAGCGGGGTCAGAGGGCCGAGACCATCAGCCCCCAGGGCGTCCGGCGAACGCCCAGATGCCCAGCAACCACCATGGGTTGGCCGGACGGCGGGACAGACACAGGGCCCCAGCCCCCGCCGCGTCCTCACCCGGGGCGCCGTCCTGCGGGGCCTGGGGGCAGCTGTTCTCGTGGGCCACGCGCTCCAAGGGCGTCAGGGGGGCGTGCAGGCCGCAATGGGGGCAGGTCCAGAAGGTGCGGAGGCAGTCGCTGTACAGGTCCGTGTCACTCTGTGGCAGGTGGGTTGTGTCAGGACCTGGCGCCCTGCCCCACCCCCGCCGACAGCCTGGGGCCCTTCCCAGAACCCCTCGGGGCTGGCAGGCCCCATTCGGAAACTGTGTCCCAGGACTAAGCAGGAATGAGGTTGGTGGGGCTGAGGGGGTCCCTAAAATCCCTCTTGAGGGGCAGGAGGGTGAGGGGCCCAGGTGGGGTCTGTGCTCACCGTGAGGCAGTTGTAGGTGAGGAAGTCAGTGACCGCGTAGCCCCCTTTGGTGGGGTGGGGGGACAGGGTAGAGCTGCCAAAGAGACCAGGGAGACTGGGGGCAGCCGTGATGGTCTGAGGTCCCACATAGAGGTTCTGGATTTCCAGCCCCATGAGCCGCCGGAGGCTGTAGGGAACCTGAGGAAAGAGAGACAGGATATAGGGGAGCCAGACTCAGGGAGACATTATCAGAGCACCTGGATCCAGCTGTGCCTGAAACCCACCCCTGGACTTTTCTGTAATGGGGCCCAATTGCTTAAGCCAATCATAACATGGTTTTAGACACCTGTGACCAGAGGCTTGTCTAAAACACATCCTGACGCCCTATCTCCCATCTTAACTGCCTTCCCCAGGTCCTTTCTCTGCTCCCTGTCACTTGCGGGACCACATCCAGACCCTAAGTCTAGCCACCTTGCCCCTCCTTCCCCTGGCATGTCAGCCTGTTCCTCTTTCCCTAGTTCACTGGATCCCTCCACTCCTCCAGGAAGTCATCCTGGATTGCACCTTTCTCCCCTGCCCCATCCACACATGGCAGAATGAGGGTCAGTTCTTGACTCCCCACATAAGAGGTGGGGTTGGTCTCACATCTGCTCTGTCCAATTCTTCCCACCTGTCCTCCACAAATACGGACCTTACGGCTCCCCACTCACGTACTGCAGCCCCTTAACCGCTCTTGAGGGGGACCCTGCACTGCGCAGGCAGCACGTGCCTAACAAGCCTCTGCTGAACGAGGGCTCGGGGTCAACAGCGGGGCCGCAGGACATAGGCCAAGCTCAGTCCTGGCTCCGGCCTTGACCAGCGCGTGACCCTGGGTTTGGCATCAACCCTCTGGTTTGGAAACCCCCAACGTGCGCACATCCAAGGAGCCTGCCCCCCGCGACTTCAGCCAGTCCGAGGGCACCTGGGACGCTGCGAACCGCAGCAGCTCCCTGCTCAGGGCCGCCTCCTCCCTGCGGTGGACCGCCGCCTCCTCCTCGTCCTCATCTTCCTCCTCCTCCTCCGGCCGCCGCCGGGCCTGCCGGGCCAGCTGCCGGGCCAGGACCTGCTCCCAGCGGGCGCGGAGCCGCAGGGAGGCCGCCAGGAGCCCGACGGCACTCTCGCTGTCGGCCAGCTGGAGCTCCAGCCAGCCGTCGGCCACCAGGCGGGAGCAGTCACCGTTGGTGTCCAGGGAACGGCTGAACAGCAGGAGGGACTGCAAGAGAGGGGCGGGGGACAGGCGTGGGCGTGAGGGGACAGTGACAACTCAGGAGGCCGAGGCCTGGCTGGGCTCCCACTCGCCCCCCCCGTCACGGATCCACCTACCACCCAACTGTCCATCTGTCCCACCACCTAACAGTCACCCCACGCCAACTCTGTGCCACACGTTGTTCCAGGTCCTGGAGACACACAGTGAACAAGACCGACTAGGTCCCCGCCCCCAGGAGCTGCCATCCTACTTGGACAGACAGACGACAGAGATCACAGAGGAGAGGGCAGAGTGTGTTCCCAGTCCGGGTGGGAGGTGGACGGCGGGGGGGGCCCTGCCCTCACAGGGCTGGGGCTGCACACTCGAGGCCTTTGGCGCGCCCACCACCTGGACACGTCACTGTCTACAGTTTATCCTCAAAACGCAGAAGCGAGCACTGGATGCCAGTTACTGCGCCGCGGGCTGAAGGGTGACAGCGCCGACGGCAGCCCCCGCCTTTAAACGCACCGGGAAAGTAAAAAGATGCCACCAATGAAGAGGGACTGATGTGCGACAGAGGAACAGACAGGAGTCACAGCAGAAAGACTGGACGTCATCTGCAGGTCTGGGGAGGGCAGGACGAGTGTCTACTGATCATGTCTTTCAGCTTTTCTGTCTGAAGTGGTCCTAACAGGACGATGGGGACAACCTGACGGGATGGGGCGGGCAGTGGAAGGGGCAGGGCTGGCCGCGGCGACGGTCTGGGGCTGGGTGATGGCGCATGAGGGTTCACATGCCATCCTGTCTCTTTGGTGTGCTGCACACCAGCCACCAGGCCACCGGCGTGGAGGGTGGGAGACGGAGCCGCAGGCAGCACCCCAGTGGGCGAACCCGCTTCATTCCCGCCGTCCAGCCGGGGGCCCAGCTCTGGCCCCACACGCCCTCCCGGCGCAGGAGCTCTGCAGCCTCTCACCCGATGGCCTCCCCAGCAGGCGGCACGGCCATCAGGCCTCTGCGGTGGGACGCCGGCACTGACTCAACGTCTGAACAGAAACAGACACGAGCAAACGAGGGTGTGCGTTCAGTGCGGGGGGAGATCCGTGTCGACAAAACCTCCAGAGGCTCAGGGGGCCCTCTGTGTGCCCTGGGGTGGCAGCGAGAGGCCTGGGGGCTGGGGACACCTGTCTGACCGGCAGGGGAGGCATGAGGTGTGGCCTATGGCCCTGGAGCTCTGGCTGTGCCACCTGTCACTGTGTGACTTAGGCCAAGTGACATGCCTCTGCCCCCCAGAGCCTCGTCTTCTCCTTAAAGAGAATCTGAGGGCCGAGGAAGGACCCCCGAGGCAGGCCCAGAACCACAGGGCGGCAGCAGCGAGCTCGCAAGGCGTGCGGGCTATCGCTGGCTGAGGACACACAGGACAAGTACATGTGCGATCTGAGTGCTCTCAGCCTTCATTTGGCCCAGCCCTCATCCTCTCCCCGCTCCCTGCTGGGCTCCGTGCAGCCCCCATGTCAGACCCGCTCCAGTCTCCCTGCCTCTCCTCCTGTCCCTGACTCTGCTCCAGCTGTTCCCTGTGCACACCAGGCATGCATGTGCCTCAGGGCCTTTGCACTTGCTGTTCCCTCTGCCTCAGATGCTCTTCTCCCAGAGATCCCTCTGACTCGTCCCTCCCTTCCTTCAGGTCTTTCCTGCATTGCACCTCCCCAAGGAGGCACATGCTGACCGCCTTGTTTCATACTGGAACCTGCCCCCTCCCCTCCCCGTCCCCTGACCCCTTCCCCTAGTCTTTCTGTTTGCCCCGGGTGCTCACTCTGCTGTAACACAGCACTCAGCCCTGTGCTCTCTTATTGCTACTGCCCGCGCTCCCTGCTGGACGCGAGCCCCAGGTGAGCAGGGGGCAGCTGTGGCCTTGTTTGCTGCTGTGCTGCCAGCGCCCTCAGCAGCCCCCGCACACTGCGGCAGGCGGCAAGGGATGGTTGAGTGAACACGCGAATGAGAAGACAGCCGCCAACAAGAGGCTGCGGCTGAGGCCCTCGGACACGCGAGAAGGCCCAGGCCCTGGCCGTGCAGGGCCGGGAGGTGGACGCACCTGCAGGGCGGGGACGCGCACGCAGTTCACCAGGTACGGCTTGGTGGTCTCCAGCAAGGACACGAAGGCGAGGAGCTGGTGCCTGCTGCTCATCTTGTCCTTGTCATCTGCAAGGGTCACGAGGACGGCTCAGCCCCCATCTCCCACCCACACCCCACCCTGGTCCGTCCCCCAGGGCTGCCTGTGCCACCTGGCCATTTACACGCCCACCGAAAGAACACGCCCACGTGTGTCAGGACAGCACGCCTGTGACCCATGTTGAAATACTCTGCCCCGATGAACGTGACTGGGGCGATGGGGCGACATGAAGAAACACCGTGAGTTCTGTCAGCAGCGATAACGGGGTTGGGGGAACAGAAAACACAGTTGGGGCGAGGGCCCCGCGGGTCCTCACGCTCTCCAAAATTAGCAAACACAGAGAAAAGGCACGTGACAGGAAGAGGGTACAGTGACTAGGAATCCAGACCAGGCAGAAGAGGTTCAAACTCTGTCTCAGACGTTGACAACTACAAACCTCCTCTTTGGGGTCGTTTACCATTCCCCAGAGTGCGTCACTCTCTCTACAAACCAGGCCCAGGGCGAGCGTGTCCCAAGCTCCGACAGAGCGGCGGGAAGCCCCCGCCCCAGCGCAGGCCGCCCTTCGAGGGCCCGGCTAGGGCCCGGCCAGCGGAGGCGGGGGCTTCTGTGGCTGTGACGCCCCAGGGGCTGCGGCCCCCCCACACCCCCCAGCCCAGGAGCCGCCGAGCTCAGGGGGCAGGGTCCTGATGGGCACTGCTCCTCCGCCAGAAGCTCGGGCCTTGGGACGCCTGTGGGGCCCGGTGGCCAGCCCCGCCAGGGGAGGGTGAGGCTCTGCACGGCGCCCAGGGAGGTCTGGCTCCCGGGATCTCCCCTCCCTCAGACCCCACGTCAGCAGCCGCAGCAAAGGGGGAGTGTGGGAAGGACAAGTGGGTGACTCCAGCTGGCACAGGCCCCGAGGTCACATCCCCAGTGGGGGGGCCCTCCCCCGCCTGGGCTCACGCACCTCGGCTCCCTTCGCCACCCCTGGCCTCTGGCTCCCTAGTGTGCAGCACCTCGGGGCTGCTGGCGAAGACGCAGGTGGGGTGCAGCACGGCGCCCTGCTTGGCCTGCGTGTGGAAAATCTGCAGAGACCAGAGGCGGGTGCGGGTCACAGAGGCCCTCGGACCGCTCTTCCCGCTGCCCGCAACGCTTCTCCTCCACTCTCTGGGCCAGGGTCCCCTGGTATATCCGAACTCAGAAGTCCCCTCCTTCAGGAAGCCCTCCGTGCCCCCCTCCCAGGCTGGTCAGCAGTCCCCTCTGTGTGTCGCAGCACCAATCACTCTGGGTCATCTGTTTGGGGACAGTCTGTCCTCCCCACTGGACCGGAGCCCCACGAGGCCACGGCCAGGGCTGTTTCAGTCACCGCCTTGTCCCAGCACAGGCCAGGAGCTGGGCAGGTGCGCACAGCTGGGGCCCAGCCGCGGGAGGGGGCCCACCTGGTCGGAGTCCTTGCGGCCGCTGTTGAATGGGTCGGGCGCGGCGAGCTGTGGGTAGAGGCCGCGGGCCAGCACAAGCTTCAGCAAGGCCAGCTGCTCCCGGCTCAGCGCCTGCGCCGCACTGGCGGCCACCCGCAGCTGCTCCAGGTTGTGCCGCAGCTTGAACTTCACATCCTGGGGGACACGGCAAGGCGGTTCCCGGGGGCTCCCCACCCAAGGGGCCGGTACCGGGAGACATGGACCCAAGGGCTTCTGGAGACGCAGGGGCCCGGGCCTGCCCACGGCAATGTCTCCTGAGGCGACGGCAGGGCCGCGTCCGCTCGGACCCAAGAGCAGGGCCGCGTCCCCTCAGACCCCAGGGCAGGGCCGCGTCCCCTCGGACCCCAGGGCAGGCCGTGTCCCCTCGGACCCCAGGGTAGGGCCGCGTTCCCCGCTCTGGTGACCTCCCCCACCTGTCCCAGGCCCCCGACAGCGGCACAGCATCCCACCTGGATGTCCACGCTACCGCCTGCCCCCTGGGAGGCTGGGCGGGCCGGGTCCTCGTCGCTGGAGCCGCCGTCCTGGTCCCCGAGCCGCAGCACCTTGCGCCTGCGCGCCCCGCCCTCCTCGTGCTGGCGCTTCAGCTGGAACAGGGCCTGGCGCTCCCGGCGCTGCCGCAGCCGGCTGTAGCTGTCCCCCGGCTCCAGGGCCTGCGCCCCAGCCAGCAGCCCGTGGTCCTCCAGCAGTTCCTGGGGGCGGGCGGGGCCCAAGTGAGGGACATATGGCAGGCCAAGCGGCCTCTGACCAGACACGGGCTCAAGTCTGGGGCCTGCCGCCTGCCGGCAAGTGAGCTCGCCCTCTGAGCTACCATTTTCCTCAAGTGGAACACAGGGACCGTGCCATGGCCCCCTGCCAGGGCTGCAACGGACATGTAACAACCCCTCTTCCCCCACCGTGGGCACAAACGCCCGCTCCATGAGAGGTATCATTGCTGCCAGCCAAGCGACACCTGGGCTGGCAACAGGAGGGAGGAGAGGCGGACGGGGACCCCAGCCTGGGCCTCCCTGCAGGCTCCTGTCGCGGCTGCGTCACTGCTCTGACCTCCCCTCCTGGCTGCACCGGCCCCGTGGGTTCCCAGCACCAGAGCCTCAGGGGGTGGCCCTCTGGCTGGAGGTGGCAGCATCTGGGATGTTGGGGAGAAATGCCAAGTCCTGGGCCCATCCCAGATGACCGAACCAGCCTCTCGGGGGGTGGGGCTGGGAACCCCGACCTCACAGGCCCTGCAGGTGATCTGACACACAAGACCCCTGCGCTCCCCCCGGCCCACACCTCTGTAAACAGCCTCGGACGGATGACCCAGCAGACAACGCAGGATGCTGTGTGTGTGTGTGACACAGAGAGAAGGCCTCATCTTCCGCTAGTCTCTCAGTGTCTGGGGCCCAACAAAGGCTGAACTACAGAACTTCAGTGGTCCCCAATGTGGGGACCGCCACTCTGGCCTTGACTTACCCATCTGCAACCAAAGAGCACAGGTCACAGAGACTTCTTATATTCTCCCCCCACGGGATCTCACAACCACCGAGAGGCGTGGAGCCGCCTATCTTTTCGCAAAGGGAAAGATGGCAGCAGAATGTTCACGACACGAGTCATGCAGAACCACGTGATGGTCACGCCACTAGAAACAGCTAACGCTGGGCAGGGGCCGCCTGCGTCAGGCCCGTTCTGAACGTGCTACGGTACTGGCTCACTGAACCCTCCCGGGAACACTGATGGCAGCCGCTGCTTTCACCTTCCCGTCTCCAGAGGAAGAGCCAGGCCCAGAGAGGCACAGTCACTGGCCCAGGGGCGCACTGCTAGCAACTGGCCGAGCTGGCATCTGCTGCTCCAGACCTAGTGTCCCCTAGAATCGCCCTACGCTGCCCCCCAGCACGCAGCCCCCATGGCCAGCTCAGTACCCCACTCCAGAGGGTTCTTCACGAGGCAGTGGCATGTGACTATTGAGCCTGTCCCCCTCCAGGAAGCCCTCCTGGATTTCTACCCCTTTCCCTGCCTGGGCCGCCCCACGCCCGGTCATCCGAGGGTGGGGCAATGGGTGTTGGGGGACTCGGACCCTCTGTCAGAGGGGGAGACAGGCTGTGCTCCAGAAGGTACTCATACCACACTCTCACGCCGCCTCCCCGCCCTGGCCTCCCGGCTTGTCCCTGGGCCTGTCCGCTGGGCCTCACCTTGAACTGGCGCCGCAGGTTGGCCATCTCGTACAGCCGGTGCTCCTCGATGCCCCGGCGGCGGCACCACTTGCGAGAGTTACTGCTCCGCTCGCACTTCACCTGGGCAGAGGCGCAGACACCAGGCTGTCAGGGCCCGGCCAGCAGGGGGAGCGGAGGGGCCGGCCCACGGCCCCCACCACCCCAGCGTGGGCCCAAAGCCCAGCCCCCGGGAGGGAGCAGGCAGGGAGAGGCCTCTCGGCCCTCACTCTGGCTCACCTGCTTTCCTCCTCCTCCCACAGGAAGCCCTACCGGACCATGCTAGATCAGACAGCCCTCTGGGCTCCCCCAGCCCCGTGGACTCCCCGTGACAGCCCACTGTCGAGGGACAGGTCTGTCTCCCTGCACTGGACTGGGAGCCCCAGGAGAGCAGGAGCTCGGGAATGTGTGCTCCTGATATACAGATGCCACGCTCAGAGTCAGCATCTCCAGATGACACTGGCTTCAATCGGTGCTGCAGAAACCCTGGGCCCCCCGAGCTGGGGCCTCTGCACGCACTGACCCCATGAACATGGAGAGGGCGTCCTCCCCAGACGGGCCCGGTCTGTCTGCGGAGGGCTTGGGGTCCTCCCTGGGGTGGGGTGAGGGCGGAAGGAGGAGCCACAGCCTCATGGAGGCCCCCGACCCCGGCAGAACGAGAGTCAGCCAGGGCGGCCCCCAGCCTCACCTGCACCCAGGCATTGAAGATGTTGAAGAGAGTGAAGGGGTCGCCCTGGTCGCTCTCCAGGGGCCGCCGGGCTGCCGCACACTCTGGGTTGCCCTGGGCGCTGCGGGTGAAGGGCGACTGGACGCTGAGGGCGGCGGCGATGGTGAGCACAGGCTCCGCCAGGCAGAACGTGGAGCCCAGGATCAGCATCTTTCCTGGGGAGGCGGGGCCCGAGCTGAGCCTCCCGGACAGCGGCCCCCAGCCTTCGGGGCCCTCGGGGTCTCCTGACGGCCCTCCCACCCGCTCCTGCCCCACCCTCCCTCCATCTCATCCGCAAAGGGCCTGGGGAGTCACACAGACAGAATCACACTCACACTCACGTTGACCTCGGGCAAGGCCTCAGTTTCCCCATTGGAGACATCCACGATTCCCGACCCCTCGGGCACAGGGTGGCACTAGGTGCTGGCTGCCGCTGTCAGCCATGTCACCACCCGCCCTGCTCGGCCCTTGACAGCCCACTCCGCCAGCACCCGCTCCGGGCTGCATCTTTCTCCCCGGGGCTTGTTTTGACCCACCGTGGTCTGCGTCCTCTCCCGCCTGGAGAACGTGCCCTCCCCGTGCACTGTCGCCCATCTGCCTGGCACAAAGCAGGCGCTGCCACCTGGCACATCCCAGGAGGAACCTTTTCCTGCCATCCTTGTCTGACCAGGGTGGAGGCGGGGGAAGAAGAGGGAGGGACGGCGAGGAGGGGAGAGAAGGACGGAGGCGCAGGGATAAGGGGGGCTGGGGAGGGCAGGGAGAAGGGAGGAAGGGGGGAATCCTACGCCCAGGCAGGGAGAAGCCACCGCCACCTGCGAGCGGGAACCTGGCTGACCCCTGGTCCGTGCCTCCTGGGAGCTCAGGCCCTGCCCCTGCCCCCAGGTCCGTGGCCTGTGTGGCACGTCTGACTCATCTTCACTGGTCACCTTGACCACCTTTCTGGAAAGTTCCTGTTATACATCTAGCCTCGTAAGACAAAGGTGGGCTGTAAAACAAGACTGTCCCAGGACCCCCTAGCTCTGTCACCTGGGGTAAGTCCCTCCAGCTCTCTGTGCCTATCTCCCCGTCCGTGAAAGGGGGTGACAAGGCGTCCACCTGCCCTGAGGATGACCTGTGTCTCACCCTGTGAAGCGCTTGGAGCTCCTCCTGCACAGAGTGCGACCAGTGACTGAGCCATCTGGGCCCAGCACCGCATCCCGTGCCTTCTGCCCCTTAGGGCCTGGGGACCACTGGCATCAGCCTGGTTTGGCGAGGGTCCCCCAGCTCTGCCGGCTACCTGACCCTGGGCGAGAGAGTGACAGCCTTTCCAAGCCTCATCTTCCTCACCTGGACAGCGAGAGTCACCCCCTCCGAGCCCTCGGGGAGAGGACATGCCTAACACACTTGGCCCCACCCTGGCCCAGGCCAGGCCATGTGCCTCACCGGCTCCGGACCCCGGGGCCTGCGTCCCCACCCCGGCCAAGTCTCAGCATCCTGTCTGTGCAACCGGGACCCGAGCCGCCCCACCAGGGGCAGATGAAGGATCCATGGTCCACAAAGCCTTTCACTGACTCACGGCAACGCTCACAGAACGCTGGCTTTCTCCTCAGACCTGACTCTCCTTGCTCTAGCCCTGACTCCTCGTAAAATAAACAAAAGTAACCACGTTCACAGCCACGGGAGGCCTCGGAGTCAGAGGTGGCCGGCCTCCCGCCCACACTGAAGCGCCTGTGTGCTGCAGTGACGCAGGGACTCTGATGACACGAACACAAGCGGAGGGTCCTGCTGAGTGTCACACTTGGGAAGAGGCGCCATGGGTGGAGAGCCCGCTGGGTGTGCACCGGGATGGTTGGCAGAATTGCGAAGTCTTGAGTCAGGACAACAAGGCAAAAAGAACAGGCCTTGGCTGCGAGCTCCCTGGGAGGGGCAGGGCTGACTCAGGAACGAGCAAGAGGACGACGCAGGTGGTTGCGACATCCTTACAACCGCAAGAGAAGGGCCACAGGGCGGAGCTGGGCCAGGCTGGGCCGAGGAGAGAGGCGTCTGCTTTGTTTACTGCTGTCTCCCCGGCACCTGGAACAGCAGCTGGCACAGGGGACTTGTGAATGACGGGACAGGCCTGCCTATGACACACTCAGAGCGCAAGGGGCTCCTGCACTCCCAGTGCCCTGTGTGACCACACCATAGGGTCCTTACCAATCACGACGTCCACAGGGAGCTGGGCCAGCAGCGACCCGATGGGGGTGAGGGCCTCCGAGCTGTCCAGGGCCCCCTGGTCGCGGAGGTAGAGGATGGCCGTTTCCAGGCTGGCTGGCGGCGGGGGTTCAATAAAGGGGAAGGTTCGGGGGTCCCCGACGCTCATGCTCTTCATCTGGAAGGAGAACCCCACTCCCCCGGGAAAGGGGAACACATGAGCCACTGCGGACACTGGGCAGGCTCAGGGATCACAAACTGGTGATGCTTTCAAAACTCCTGACACACAAATATCCAATCCTCGTGTCGTACACCTGACACTAACATCCTGTTGCATGTCAATTACATCTCCATAAAACAAAAGGCGAAAAGCTCTGCCCATCGCACAAGGCAGGAGAGGAGGGGCTGGCTGCCTGTCTAGCCAGCATCGCCCCCCCAGACCCTGGCCGTGGAATGAGCACACCACCTAAGCCGGGCCACTCTCGGTTCCTCAGCCCCAGGTCCCAGCACCAGGGTGAGGAAGGAGCACGCGAGCCGAGCTGGCCAAGCAGAGTCCTTCCCTGGGAGGCTGAAACGGGAGCGGGAGAGAGAAGTCCCAGCACGCGCTCTGGGTGTGAGGGGCCAGGGTGGAGACCGCAGCCGCTGTGCTGCTCTTCCACGGCCCAGAATTCAGCCCACCCACATGGAGAAAGCCCTGAACTGCTCCTCAGCGGGACTGGCCTCACGATGGACACACAGACCCATAAAATCCCCATTTCTGCTTACAACAGTGTGAGCTGGGCTTCTCCCACCGGCAACCAAAAGCATGCCGATGAACTCAGAGGCCCCGAGGGGCCGGGCCGTGGGCAGAATGAAACGAGCGTGCACCCTCACCCAGCCTGGCACACGTGAGCAAACGGCACCTCTTCGAGAAGGGGACGGAAGAAAGGCTGGCATGGCGGCGCCTGTGACCACGAAAGCGCAAGCAGCTCAGAGAGCCGGGGGCTCAGCCAGCCTCCCAGTGACGTCACCTGCCCGCCCGGCCCTGAGCAGGACGGCACCAGCCGTCCCACCTCCCTCCCTGCTCATGGAGCCTGGATGTCGTCTTGGAGACCACCCAGTACGCACACCAAGACCTTAACTTGGAAGCGCTGGGCTGGGGGTAGGGCAAGGATTTCTTGAACTCTCAGGTGATTCCAATGAATGGCTGGGCTGGGACGCACTGCTCAGATCCAGGGAGGCAACGCCAGCCCCTGGACGAGGACAGGTCACAGCCCGGACAGGTGTCACCCAGTTCTGCCTACAAGACCAGATGTGAGATCGGCCAGGGGGCCTCTGGGAGAGGTTCCCATGGGCTTAAAAACGTGACCCGAAAAGAGGGGGAGCTCGTTGCTTCTGCCTCTGGAGGTAAAGGAGAAAGTGATGCCACACTGCCAGAGCCAGGAGGCACGCACAGGGCAGGCTCTAGAGCCTGACAGCCTCAGATGGAAGCCCCGCTGTGCCGCTTGCCACTGTGTGACCTGGGTGAAGTTACTTTACCTCTCTGTGCATGCATTTCCTCACCCCTAAAATGCATGATGAGATTACTCACCGCAGAGAGGTTCTGTGAGGATCAAAACAGTCACGTACACAAACCCTGAGCACACGGCCTCGCCCACAGTAAGCACTAGGTAAGCGTCCATCACCATTATGATGAGAGCTGCCAACAGACCGAGGTTGGACAGACAGAAGCCCGGGTCCTTTAAGGCATCACTGGTTCATGTAATAACCAAGCCCGGGACGGGCCTATCTCGGGACTTCTTGTTGTGGGAAAGCCAGTGTGCTCTCTGCTCAGGAAGAAGAGAGAGAGCAAAGCGGGGAACTGCGGTGGCACCTGTCACGGCTCCCCCGGGCGCGGGCAGGTGACGTGGTCAGGCGCTCCAGGCAGGGGGCACAACTGGCATTTTTAAAAATGAAATCAAAGGAACAGAGACCATCAGCGCACACGGGCCACAGGAGGGGCTGCTCGGTGCCACGCCCGCGGGACAGCCGCCTGAGAACCCAGGTGAGCTGGGGGCCGCTAGGTGAGCGGGTCTGTTTGTCACAGCCACCTAATCGACGCAAAACTAACTACCGAGATCCAAGGTGTGACATTGAACGTATCGAGAATCCCGCAGTTACTTCCTGACAGCTCTCTGTGACAGCTGAAAGCATTCTGATGGAGGCTCGAGGCTCTCCCTGCGACCCCGTGGATGTGGGGCACAATCGTCCCGGTGACCGGGCTCCGATGCCAGGAAGGGACGAGCCCCTTGGCGGCCTGGCCAGCCCTGCCCTTCCCGCCGACGCCCGGGACAGGCGGTCTAAGGGCGCCCGGGCCCCGCGCCAGCCCTCAGGGTGCTACTGCACCCCCAGCCCCGCCTCACCTGCAGCACCAGCGCATCGAGGGCGACCCTGCGGATCTCTGGGACCGGGTAGGGGGCGAAGGCGTCGTAGTCCGACTCGGCGTAGAGGCGGAAGCAGACCCCGGGGCCCGTGCGGCCCGCCCGGCCCTTGCGCTGCTCGGCGCTGGCCTGGCTGATCCAGAACTCCTGCAGCCGCTGCAGCTTGGCCTGGGGGTCACAGCTCATCTCCTTCACTTTCCCTGGGTGCGGGAGGGATGAGAATCGGGACACAGGAGCCACAGGGCCCCCACGCTGCCCTGCACCCGTTCACTCCTTCGCCGACCCCTCACCTATGCCCCCTTCCAGTGACACGGACCGAGCTCAGACTCCAGGCCAGGCCCAGCCCAGCCCTTCCGCCTCCTTGCCCGCACGTCGCCTCAGTTCTCTGCAGCCTGCGCTCACTCTGGGGGGCAGTCACCCATGGACGCTAGGAAGCCCCTTCCAGGAGCCAGTCCGTGCCAGGCTCTCGGGACATGGTCACAAGCGAGGCAGACCCCCCAGTCTCCCAGGCAGAGCAGACACGACTTCACCAACCTGAGACCAACCCTTTCTCACACGGGACACTCCCTGCAAATGGGACGTGCCTTCAAATCGACGGCACGTCCAGGGTGAACGGACAGCATTTCATGATGTTCTTAATGGTACAGAACATAACGGAATGTCTGTCATCAGCGGCTTCCCCCCGTCAGTCCACTAAGGGGGCCGACGCTGACCGAGGGCTCACTCTGCGCCTGCACTGTCCTAGCACCCAGCTATTCTGACCTCATGTAACCCTCACACCCTGAGGGAGGCGCTGGGAGGACTGCCGTCTCACAGATGAGCAAACTGACACGAGAGGTCGGTGACATGACCCCGGTCACACAGGCAGTGGAGAACCTGGCAGGCGGGCTCCAGCACCTCCCAACCACTATGACGCTGACTTTCCAGAGAACAGTCTAAGTGGGAAGACAGAAGATCAACAGATAGAAAACATAACGCCCACACCATGAAGGAAATGAAGCCTCATAAGGAAATAACGGTAAAGGAGGAGGGGGAGATCACATTGATAAAGCAGACAGGGTGGGCCTCCAATGGGAAGACATTCCCACAGGCCCAGAAATGAGAGGGGAGACAGTGAGCCGCGTGGATATCTGGAGAACGACAGCCCTCTGCAGAGACAGCGGTAAGTGCAAAGGCCCTGAGGCAGGAGCAAGCCTGGAACGTCTGAGGATGAAGATGTGCCACTGCTCCACAGCCCTAACCTACTCCCTCCCTCGGTCTGAAGTTCCCTTGCTACATCTGCACAGCTCCAAACCAAATCCACACTTCTCCCCAGGTGCCTGGGGTGGCTGGGGGGCAGCCCTCACCGGAATCTACTACGAAGCGGATCCCATCAATGGTGACCGAGGTCTCGGCGATGTTGGTGGAGAGGATGCATTTCCGGACTCCAGGGGGCGCTACATCAAAAACCTGGGGGAGAGTGAGTCGGCGGCATCAGGGCCTAACTCACTGACCCACGTGGCCAGTGGCCTCCTGGATGCCCCACGGGCACCTCGCACCCCCAGGTCTAAAACAGCCTAGGGCCCTCCATGGGACCCTGCCTCCTCGAGTCCCCCTCTTGGAGATGGCTCATCACCCACCACATCACTTGGGCCAGAAATCTGGGCTGCGCTGGGTCCTCCCCGCTGCCTCTCCAGCCACAGCCGAACATCTTGAACGTTCCCTCGTCCCCAGACCCACAGCCCCTGCTCCGGCCCAGGCTCCTCCTTTCCCACCCAGGCCCTGCCCAGCTTCTGCCCTGGTCTCTGGCCTCTAGACTCATGCCCTCCAGTCCATCCTTCAAAGGCCGCAGAGGGAGCTGCTAAAGCACAGACTGGCCCTGCCCCCGCCTCCCCAGAATCTCCCATGGCTCCCCAGGGCACTCGGGACCAAGCCCAGGCACCACACTGGGTCTTCAAGGCCCTTGTGGTCCAAGCCTGCCCACCTCTCCAGTCTCATCTCTCCCAACTTCCCCTTCACCATCCGGACCCCAGCCACTCCGCATGTCGTCTTCCAGCTGCCCTGTCTTTCTCTCACCACAGGCCCTTTGCACAAGCCCTTCTCTCGGACCCAAGAGGCAGTCAAGCACAGTGGTTACGAGTGGGCGTCAGCAACTACAGGGCAGCCTGTGGGCCCAATCCAGCTGCCACTTGTTTGTGTGAATAAGGTCTTAACGGAACACCACCTCCGCTGGCCAGTCTACGGCTGCTTTAGGCTATAATGGCAGAGCTGAGAGGTGACAGAGACCACACGGCCCACACAACCTGAAAATGTGTACTCCGCGGCCCTTGACAGAAAAGGCTGTCAGCCTCTGGTTAACAGTATGGGCTCTGGTGCCAAATCACCGAGTTCTGCACCCGGCTCTGCCACTCACGTGGCACAAGTGCCCACGCCTCCCTTTCTGCAACTGCTGAACAGGTGGGGGTGACGACAGGACCTGGCAGGCGGGCCTCGGGGAGGACACAGAGCTCGGAGCACTGGGAGCATGCAGTGAGTGCCCCGCACATGCTGGCTGGGACCCTCTTCTCCCTGCCTGCTTCCCTCAGCCAGCACTTTCCCAGATCTCAGTTTTGAAGTCCCCGCCTCCAGGAAGCCTTCCCTGAACCCACTCTCAGAGCATCCTGAGCCTTCCTCTTCCTGTTTGTGAAACTGTTGATGACTTGTCCGTCTCCAACAGACCAGCAGCCATCTGAGGGGAAGGACCATGGCTTGGCTCCCACTAGGTCCCAAAGAACCCCACAGTGGGCAAGGGGAGGCACGTAGGAGGTGCTCCGAGGTTGTTTCTTCAATCAACAAACAACTGAACGTCACATGAAGGGATTTTCCCCAAGGTGACTCTGGAAGTCAGCCTGCAAGATGGCCCCAGGGAGTCTCACCTCCCGGGATTCACACCCTCATCCAGGACTGGCCCCCTGACCAGGGCAGAACGGGTTCACTCACGGGACACTGCAGAAATGATGGCACCTGATTTCCAAGGCTGGGTCACAAAAGACATCGTGGCTTCTGCTTGGTCTCCTGGGGAGAGCCAGCCACCACGCCGTGAGGACACTAAGTGGCCCCCCAGAGAGGCCCCCAGCCCACAGGCAGCCATGCGGGTGCACGTGTGAGAGAAGGCAGCTCCAGCCCACATTGAGCCTTCGGATGATTGTGGCCCTGGCTGACGCCTGAGCGCAGCCTTGGCACAGGCCCTGGGCCAGGAGCTCCCGGACCCCCGACCCCCAGAAAGTAGGTGGGAGATATTTACTGCTCTAAGCTGCTGGGTCTGGGTAATCTGTCACACAGCAGTAAGTCACTAACACGGTGGCCCAAAGCCGCCTCTCCCAGCACCCTCCATTCCAGCCAGATGGGCTCACCTTTCCCCACATCCAACTCAGGTCCCCACCTCCACGCCTTTGCTCACGCTGGTCCCCCACCTGGACTGCCTTCTTCACGAGATCCTCCTCGTCCTCCAAAGCTCAGCTCTAATGCCCCCACCTCACCAGGAGGCGCACCCTCCCCACCCCCAAGAGAGGTGAGCAGCCCCCAGTGCAGCTGCAGCGCGGCTTTCTGGAATCACGCGCCCCACCCACGCCTCCTCCCCTGGCGACACTGCAGACCCCACCTGCCCGACTCGGCCTGGTCGCGCGTGCTACCTTGTCCTGGTCGGCCACAGAGAGGGCGCTGTGCAGCGGCAGCACCACCCAGCGCTGGGTGTGGCTGGCATAGGGCTGGGCGGCCTCGAGCACAGCGCTGATCTCCGCCATGCCGCTGAGGAAGACCAGGAGGTCGCCCCGCTCCTCGGGGGGGTACTTGCTGTCAATGGCCTCCAGCACCCTCAGGAAAGGCCGCGGGTCCAGCTTCTCTGACTTGGACGTCGTCGGCTCCGCCTCCTGTGGCTGGTACACGACCTGTGCGGAGACGGCCCCGGGTAGCAGGGCACCCTGTCACTCCGGCTCGGAGCCACGGGGCGGGGAGACCCAGGCTGACAGAGAGGACACGGGCAGGTCAGGCAGCAGGGGACACACTCAAATGGGATATTCTGAAGAAGATACAAGAAAAGGACAAAGGGCTGAGGTAACAAGAAGCTTCTGGGGGCTGGTAGTTTTGGCTGTCTTTAATCTGGGTGCTGGCTGCACGCGGGTATTTAGTTTGTGAGAATCCACTGAGCTAGACTTATGATGCACATTCTTCTGTGTTTGGAGAAAAACTTCAACAGCGAAACCACTTTAATGGGGGGAGCCAGGACCAAAACCCTAGAATCACGTCTCAGAAAGCGTCCGCACCCTTTTTACGGCTGCTTAGAAGACAGAGGGATGGGCACTGAGCACAGAAACCACGGGGGACAGTGCATTTCCTGGCGCTAGGAACCTGGGGGCTGGTCCCAATTCTTAGTCCGAAAGCACGCGAGGAAGGAGTGGATATGAAACCGTGGAGGAGAGAGCCACATGGAGAGCGCCAGCCCGAAGGCAGCCGTGACGTCCCCCTGGAGGCCCGCAGGGAGGGGGCAGATTCTCCTTTTCCTACTGACCAACCGGAAGCCAGAGGGCAGGGGGTCCATCCACGCCACCCACAGGGGCCAGCCTCCCCGGGAGGACAGCAAGACAGGAAGGGGAATGAGATCTGGAAGGGCAGCGACCTGCGCAGGCTCTGCCTGTGAGCAGGAGTCAAGTCCTGGCCGTGCCACGCCTGAGTCGCCCTGTCAACAGGCGGCTTCACGTCGTGAGCTGCAGCTCTAGCCTCAGGGGCAGAAATTCCTGCCAGAGAACTACTGAGGCTGCTGTGAGGGCCTCACATGATCTGAGGCGCGGTAACTATGGAGCACGTGGGACACACTCAACGTTAGTGCGATCGTCAGGGAGCCGGCCCTGGGGGTCTAGCGGTTAACAGTCAGTGCTCTCACTGCCACGGCCCGGGCTCATCTCCCAGTCAGGGAACCACACCACCCGTCTGTCTGTCGGTTGTCACACTGTGGGGGCTGCCTTTGCTGTGATGCTGAAAGCTATGCCGCTGGGATTTCACATACCAGCAGGGTCCCCCATGGAGGACAGGTTTCAGTGGAGCTTCCAGACTAAGACGGACCAGGAAGAAGCAGCTGGCCACCCACTTCCAAAAAAACGGGCCATGAAAACCCTATGAATAGAATGGAGCCTTGTCTGATGGAGGCCAGAAGGGGAAAGGATGGCACAGAAAGACTGGGCAGGCTCCGCTCCGCTGTCCACGGGGTGCTCGGAGTCCGAATCCACTCAACAGCACTAACAACCAATGATCATCATCACCATTACTGATAAAACCAACACAGAAGCCATAGCATACAAGTGAGAAAAAGGGGGAAGTTCAGGCAGAGGTTGCTGAGGAAACTGAAGGGATGGGACGCTGAAAACGATCTCCGCCTAGTTCAAACAGAGCAAACTGTAGGAGGACCAAAAGGCACATTATTGTCCACAAATACCAAACGCCCTGTCTCTCCCCTAAGACGGCTCTCTTAGCTTCAGCATCTTCAGCCACGGCTGCACCTCAGCGCGGGCACGTGGACTGGAAGGCGGTGGGGCAGGCCCACCCCCAGGACTGCCCACCAGGATGAGGTGGGGTGTGTCGAGTAGCGTGGGGACACACGGTGGTCCCCAGAGAGTCTGCGCTTTTCTTCCCGGCACGGCATCACCCAGAGATTTTCCAGCCTCCTTTGCAGCCAAGAGGGGCTCGGAGACGAGAATAAAGCAACGGGAACGTCACGTGCAACTGAAAGACGCTTAAACTGCTTTTCCTGGACTGTGGCTCCCGCCCCTTCCTGCAAGCAGTGACCACACAGACAGGACAACACCCTAGGACAGCGGTTCTGCCCCCCTTGGGGACCTCTGGCAACAGCTGGAGATATTCTGGGTTATCACAACTGTGGGCGGAGAATGCTGCTGGCATCTCGTGCAGAGGCCAGGCATGCTGCTCAACATTCTGAAAAGCACAGGCAGCCTCCACTACCAAGAACGCTCCAGCCCCCAGCGTCACCGGTGCTGAGAGAAACGCTGCCCTACGAGATGGCAGAGCAACGAGCAAGGAGGAGCCTGAGTCCCTGAAGGACCACATGGAACGGAGCTGCCCACGAGCCTGGACCAGCCGGACTGTGGGATAAGAGAAATCAACATCTGTCTTATTTGAGCCTTTAGATTTTGGGTCTCCTCTAACGAGCCCTTAGCACTCCACCCAGCACATTGTAAATGCTCAGAAAACAGCAGCTTTAAAGGAGAAAGAGAGACAGAGAGTGCACGAGAACGTCCTTAAATGAAGAGACGGGACACAGAGCAGCAGGGAAGAGAAGGGACAAGTCCAGCTGGCCAGGGACGGGGCAGGAGGCGTGGGGACGTGGGGAGGGAGGAGCACTGACCGTGATGGGGAAGAGCCTTCCGGGCACCTGAACCACCGGCGCGTCGCCGAAGTAGCTGGAAAAGAGCGAGATGTTGATGGTGGCCGACATGAGGACGACCTTGAGGTCAGGCCGCTGGGGCAGCAGGCGCCGCAGGACGCCCAGGAGGAAGTCGTTGTGGAGGTGCCGCTCGTGGACCTCGTCCACAATGAGGACCTGGTACTGCGGCAGGCGCGGCTCCCGCTGCAGCTGCCTCAGGAGCAGCCCCACCGTCAGGAACACGATCTTGGTGGCCGGCGAACGCGTGCTCTCAAAGCGGATCTGGTAGCCGACCTGGGGGGTGGCGGGTGGGGGGTCAGGAGAGGACCCTGGACCGGGCACCAGCCCCCCACCTCGCCCAGACGGGGAATCGGAGCAAACGCAGCCCCTGCCATCAGCCCCTGGAGTCCCACAGCCTCGGGCTGGAACCCCACCTCTGCCACTGGTGCCCGTGACTGCGGGCAAGCAATTCCATCCCTCAGGGCACACACTTCCTTCTCCTCGGTGCTGAGCACCATGGGTGCTAATGCACAGAAAGTGTGTGGCGCAGAGCCTGGCACGTGATAGTAATGAATTAAAACAGTAATAACCTTTCTTTGAGTCCTCACTGCGTGCCAGCAACTACTTCAAAGCTTTCCACATAGCAACTCATTCCATCCTCACGACCCCCACACAAGGGAAGAACCACCGCTATCCTCCCTCACAGATGGGGAAACTGAGGCCACGCCTCCAAGGTAACACAGCTAAAGAGAGGGATTAAAAGGAAATGTATTTTAACCCCTACCTCACGTCACACAGACACACACACAAATCATCATCAGACGAGTTATTGTTCCAAAGGTAAAAGTCTTTAGAAAAAGATAGAAAACTCCTTCATGACCTTAAAGTAGGCAAAGATTTCTTAAACGGGACCCAGAACGCCAGCCATAAAAAGGAAGTGACAGACCGGATTATATTTAAATGAAAAGACACAGTCACCAAAAGACAGGATTCAGAAAATGAAAGACAACTCACAGAGCAGCAGAGAAGATGTGCAATAAATAAATCCTGCAGAGGACTCATATCCGGATTCTAGAAAGGCCTATAGATCACGAACAAAAAGACAGACAACGAAACACAAACGGGAAACAGATGGAAGAGACGCTTCACAAAGGAGGACCTCCAAACGGCCAATAAAGACACAAAAAAGTGGTCATCAAGTAAATGCCAATTAAAATGTGCCACCACTATATACCCATAGGAAAAGCCAAAACAGCGAAGATTAACGACACCACACACAATGTTAGAAGCCAATACGACCTCAGTAAAATAAAGAAAATTAAAAAAACATAGATTGATGATAACCAGCATTGGTGACAATGTGGCACACGCGGCTGGTAGGAGTGTCCACTGGTACGACCACTGTGCAAAACGTTTGGCGGTATTTACTAAAACTAAAACACACACACAGATCTGACGACCCAGCAATGCCACTCCTGGACATACACCCAACAGAAACACACACCCGAGACCAAAAGGTACATTCTAGAACATTTACAGCAGCACCTTCACAAGAGACCCTAAAACGGGAAATCCCCCGAAGCCCCATCCACAGCAGAGGGGACAAATGCACGTGGTGCCCTCACACCAGGACACACCCAGCAGTGAGACGGAACGGTGGACACCCCTACGTTAGACTTCAGACAAATCTCGCAAAACTAACATCGAGCGACAGAGGCCAGACACAAGAGACGACGTGCTTTTTGATTCCACTTATAGAAAGCAAAAAAAAAAAAAGAGGCAAAAGTAACCTGTGATAGCTTAAGTGTCACAATCTAGCACTACGCACAGTGACAACCCTTGGGAACCTCAAGGTCGTAACTGGAAGGGGACACAAGAGGGTCTCCGGGTTGCTGGTTTGATTTTTTTGATCTTGGTGCTGGTTACATAAATGTATTCCACTTGTGCAAACCCACACATGACATGTGCATGCTGCTGTGACTACAGTCAGACCTTCAGGAACAATTTTTAAGCGGTAGAGCCTGGATTAGAAGCCCAGAAATCCTTAGAAAGAAAGGTCCTCATTCTTTTTTTGCTGCTAAAAAAAAATTTAGGACAATTCCAATTTCTGGCTGTGTGAGCGCTATCCTGGGGAATGTCAGTGGCTTTGTCATTCGGACCATATTCAGGCCACTCTGCAGATAAACTTCTAGAAGAATCATCGCTGGGTCAAGGGATCAGTGCTTTTGTAAATTTTATCGATCCTACCATATGGGCAAGCAACTTATTCCTCGAGGTCACCGGAAAAACTGGACCCGTTAGGGCCCCCTCACCTGGGAGCCGTACTGACTGAGGCTCTCAAAGCTGACGCGCTTGGCCAGCGAGATGCAGGCGATCCTCCGGGGCTGGGTGCAGGCCACGTGACTGAAGCCGGCGGCCAGCAGGTACTGCGGCACCTGAGTGGACTTGCCACAGCCCGTGTCGCCCGCCACCACCACCACCTGGTGCCGCTCCAGCGTCTGCAGGATGCGGCTTGCATACTGGGCGATGGGAAGCGCCGCGCGCTCCCGCTGCAGTCTGGCCAGCCGTCCGAACGCCTGCTTCTGGCCGAAGTCCAGATAGTGCAAGAGGGCTCGGCGGAACTCGGACACTCTGTCCCGGGGCAGGCGGCCGCCCGGCCCCCGAGAGCCCCGAGGGTCGGGGCCGAGGACGGAGAGGTTGATGCGGTAACGCGGGTCGTAAGCGCGAGGCAGGTCGGCCAGCGCCGGGATGCTGCGCTCCGGGGGCCCAGCATCCTTCTCCTCCTTCCGGGCCGTCTTGAGATGCTGGAATTTCTGCAAGCGTTCAAAGAAGGTCCAGAACTTCTGGCACTCCTCGGAACCCTGGCGGATATAATCCTCGTCACGGAAGAAGGCATCTTCGAAGAGACGACGTGTCTCTGGACAGTTCCAGTCCCATTTCTCCGGGGCCTCCTTCTCCCTGGGCGCCCGGGGTCGGTCTCGGTGATCCCTGCCCTCCCTTGTCCTGGGAGGAGGCATGATCTGGCTGGTCACGATGCTGTCGCAAAACCGGCCTCGGGGCTGATCACCTGGACCGAATCTTCTCCTCTATTCCCCACCTCCCGCAGGGAGAGGTCAGAGCGTGCAGTAAGGAACCACTTCCTCCTCACAGAGCCAGTGTGCCTCCTCACCGATGCCACAGGACACCTGCAGGCAATGACAGAGTAAACGGCCCAGGGCCTGGGTCACACTGGTGACACACAGGGCACCTCACAACTCCTGCAGCGATCTTGGGATGGACACGCGTTCATCCTGGGTTTGCAGGCCCTGCATGTATGTGGGAGAGAACAGAAGACACTCTTCATTTTTAGAAATGTTTACTGAAAGCATGCTGTTTGGCAAACACCAGACTAGGAGGAGGGCGAGTAATGAGGGAGACCACCCCAAGCCCCCACAGGTGGTCACGGTCACATGTGAGATAGACATGTTACCCGACTCTGACAATCCAGGGAATGGGGCCGTGGGAGCCCTCCGTGACCATGCTCGAGTCAGGGAAGGAACCCCAGAGGAGGGTACAAGAGGCAGGACCTGAGAGAGGGGTGGTCTAAGGAAAAGAGAAAGGCAAGGCTTCCTACCCTGGGGCCTACTGAGCTTCAGGACACCAGGAGCCCTTTGAAACGAAGCCCGCGATTGCAAGCATGGCGTTATGTATGTTTTGGTCCTGCCTCCTGGCACACCCCTTCCTTCTTTTTCTGCTAACAGTTCGCACCTTCCTTGGGAGGGCAGCCCTTCCTGGATTCCACACGGTCCTGAGAGCCATAAGTCAGAGACCCCTGACCAGTTGGGCAGGTGACCAAGGGCTGGCCACTCATGGTACCCTTCACCCCCTTCAACCAGTGATGGGTCTGAGGAGCGGACACAGGACCCGAGGAGGGCCAATTGGGGCCTTTCTCTGGAATTTACACTCAGTTACTAGGAGAGAGCTGTCATTTTACCTACTGTGGCTACGCAAAGATGACATAAACCCAGGGCCATTTGTAGTAGCCCCTGAAGATGAGCCTTCCCTAGAAAAGAGCCCACATGTGGGCACAGCGAGGAGGAGCATGCACAAGGATGGCACCAAGCCACGACAAGGACAGAAGGGGGGAAGCCTGGCAACCTCACTCAGTGCTTGGGGCTACGTTCCCTCCAACCCTCCACTTCCCGGCTACGCAAGAAAATCTCGGCTTCCAGTTGGGGTTCTGACTTTCAGCTGCCTCAGTCCTAACTAAGACAGAGCACATCCTCGTCCGTGCAGTTTTCCGGAGGGATGTCGGTCACTCAGATTCTTAAATGATCAGAGCCTTCGTGGTAAAGGCTGTGGAGGCAAGCAGATCTGGGTTTGCATCTCAGCTTCGTCATTTACTAGATGCGTGACCAGCGGCAAAGTCACTTCTTTGAGGCTGATTTCTACATCTATGAGATGGGGACATACCTATCTCAACACACCGCAGTGTTTATCACCACGCAGGCACAGACAAGGTCACTAGTCACTGGCACTCAAGTCCAGTGCTTCGTCCCCATGATGACCAACACGGGGAAAATGGCGAGAGAAGGGGGGGCACGTAACCTGGGGAAAATCACACTCAAGAGGCCACAATTCGCCTTCACAATGTTTTCACCCACTCTGCCTTCAGCCTCTCAAGGGCCACCAGCGAACAGAGCTCAGAGACTGGATCTCTGAGTCTCAGCGGGAACTCAGGCCGACCCTGAGGGTTATTAGAGCCGGGTAAGGGTTTCGACTGAGGAAGAGCTTGTGAACGGCCAGAGCTGTTTCCCACAGAAGCGGCAGCTTGTGGGGAGCGCACGTCACTTCTTGGTGAACACCTGGGCTGGGTGATGCCACCCTGGCTTCAGAGGAAACTTCTGTTTTAGGAGGAAAGGAAAAGGACAAGGCCTTGAAAGGTTGCTGTGATACTGAGGCAGTGATCCTCAGAACAGGACAGGGACAATGAAATGGAGAGCGTGCCTCTCGGGCTGCAAGCCGCCCATGCACGCATCTGAGAGCATCCTCATGGCTCTCCAGGAGTCTGTTCTCTTTGTCAACCTCTTCAATTGTCTGGATCTGCTGGTTTCTCTCTGACTGTCTCTCTGACCATCTCTTGGTCTCCTGGCCTATCTTTCCTAGCCTGACGGCTTTTCCAGGTTTTCTCTGCTTCCCCATTTCCTCCTCTCTGGCTCTCCATCTTCAGGTCTCAGTCTTGTCTTTTCCAGTCCATCTTGCTAACCCTCCTCCTCTCTCCTCCCTTTCCTAGTCTGGGCCCATCTCACTTCATTGGTCTGATTCTCTCCCACTCTGATTCTATTTTTTAATCTGATTTTCTCTCCAACTATCTTCCTCCACCTGACTTTCTCATTTTCTGACTCTCCATTTTTGTCTCTCCCCAGTTCTTCCTCCTCCATCACTGTCTCTTCCTCCATCCTGACGATCTCTCCATCTCTCTCCACTTCTCCATCGGATATTCCGTCTCCCAATTGGCGGAGGCTTTCACAATAGCTAACGCTCACTGGTGTATCAGGTACTATACCAAAACACTCATATATATGCACATGTGCACATACACACGTACACTTTTCTCACAACCCTAAGAAGATGCTGTTACAGCTATTTCACTGAGCCACAGAGAGGTCAAGCAGGTAGTAAGTGGCAGGTGAGGAAGTCAAGCCCAGGGATTCAGGTTTTGCTCCTCTTTCTCCATTTTCCCCTGATTCTCCATCGCCTGGCTTTATCCCTCCATGTTTAAGTTCGACACTGTCTATCCGCTCTCCCTCCATCTCTCCGGCTGCACTGTCTCTTCATTTCTCTCCATACTGAGGATTCCTCCATTCTTCCTGCCTTGACCCCCGCTTCCCCATCCATCTCGCTCCTTCTCATCTCCGCTTTCCTCTCCAAGTCTCCCTTGGCCGGCTCCTCCCGTCTCTCGATCCCTCTCGTGGCAGCTCTGCCAGGTTCTCCCTATGGCGCTGTCTCCACCCTTCCAGGTGCGTCCGACTCTGCCCGTCACTCAGTCCTCGTTCCTCCACTTAAACTGTCTTCGCCTCAGCCTACTTCTGTCTCCGCTTCCCGCATGTCCCCAGTCCGCGGGGCGATCACACTGCTCTCCCGGGCTCCGCGAGCGGCTCGCGGTGGAACCATCAGCCTCTTGCCCTCGGTCTCCTGGTTCTCAGCTTCCCTCCTCCCTCGACCTCCCTGTCTCTCGGTCCCTCAGGCTCTGGAAGCTTCTTTGCATGCCTCCATTTCTTTCCCTCTCGGGCCTCTCTGTCCCCCAGGTTCTCTCGGGGACGCTCAGGCCCCACCTCCGTCCGCTCCCCCCCGGGGCTCTCGACCTCCTCCGACACACGCCCTCAACTCTGGGTTTCCCTCCCAGCCGCGGCTCGCTCCTCAGCTCCCCAGACCCGCTCCGACGCCGGCCGCCGCCACTGCCGCCCCGCTCAGCCGCCCCGCCTCCCTCACCTCACTAGCCGCCACCGAAGCCTCCAGTTCCGGCCCCCAGCGCCCCTCGCGCGCCGGAAGCCGGTCCTGCGCCTGCGCACGCCACCCTGGCTCCGCCCCCTCTCAGACAGAGGAGCCAGTGGGCAGCTGCGGGCGACCAAGACCCACTCTGCGCCTGCGCACAGCGCGCCCTGGCCCCGCCTCCGGTGATGCTGCGCCCTCTAGGGGCTGCGGTGGATACTTGCAAGCGCCTCCTCCTGGCCCGGTCTCTTGCGCTGTCATTTGCACCCCAGGATCTGCGGGGCGCCGGGGTTTTGACCCAACAAGGGAGCTGGCCAGGCCCCAGACACTGTTAAAGCACTGTCGTGATGTATGAATTATAATTTATAATTATTAAGGCGTAATCCTATTAATGTATAATTCACCCTATCAATTTGTTAACAGATAACTCGACTCCCCAGCCTCCTGAAGGCAGGGGCCAGTGCTTTGCTGGAGGTCCTGTGTTCTCCAGCCTCCATCACAGGGATTAGACAGTCGGTACATGTTTGTTGAGTGAATGATCAAGTGAACGAGAAAAGTGAGTCCTCTTTCGTCCTAGATGCGCCAGTCTTTGGGGGTCCGAGCCTCAGTTTCCCTATTTATAGCCTGAGGATATTCTCACGTCTCCTTCAAGGTTTTTGGGAAAAATCAATGAAAAAGTATTCCGAAGATACATAAACTTTTTCACGACTGTGCATATGGGTGCTCAATAGACATTAGATCTTTTATTTTTGCTATAATATCCTCCCATCATTCTCCTTTTCCCTGAGGCTAATATTGGCGTTAAGAAGGTAGAGGCTTCGGTTCTGGATTCAGATCTAGGCACTGAGGATGGAGCAGTGAGCAAAACAGATAAAGTCCCTGCTCCCACCAGACACATAAATAAAAATAAATAGAATGTCAAGCAGGACTGCCAGAGCTCTGTGGAGAAAGATGAAGTGGGAAGGGGGCAGAGAGCGATGCTATTTTAAGCAGCCCGGTCAGAGGAGACCTCTCTCGGAAAGGAGTGTTTGAGCAGAGAGCTACAAAAGGGGGAGGCAGTGAGCCACCGAGATCCCTAGGGGAGAGCATTCTAGATGGAGAAAACAGCAAAGGCTGAGCTGGGAACAAACTTGGTGGGATCAAGGACCAGCAGCTTGGGGAGGGGGTGCACACAGAAGGGAATGAAGTGATGAGAGGAGGGCAGATCATATATATATACCATGGCGAGGACTTTGGCTTCTGATCTGCGGGAGGTGGGAGCCATCGGAGGAGTTTGAGCCGAGGAGGGACAGGAGACGTGATCTGACTTAGATTTTAACAGAATCTTCTGGCTGCCTTGTGGGGAACCGACTGCAGGAACCAAGATGAAAAAAGGGGACCAGAGAGGAGGCTGCTGCCATAGGTGGCAAGTGGTGGCAGCTGGACCGGGATGATGGCAGAGAAGATGGGGAGAAGTGGTCAGAGTCTGGACGTACCTTGAAGGTAGAACCCAGAAGGATTGGCTGATGGATTAGCCATGGAATGTGGGAGAAAGAGAGGCATCAAGGATGACCCTGAACTTTTGGCCTGAATGCCTGGAAAAATGGAGTTGCCATCACGTGAGATCAAGAAGATGAGGAAGAAAGGCTGAGAGAGAAAATCCAGAGTTCCGTTTTGAGCATAGTAAGTTTGAGTTACGTGTTGGACATCGAGCTGGGATGTCAAGTGGGAAGTTGGACGTAATTATCAAACCTCTGGGGAACAATTCGGCCGCAGAGAGACCAAAACATATGTCGTTATCAAAGGAAGACGGGGAGGAAATTGACCAAACATTCTGCTTAAAATTTGCAAAAGAGAACTACAGGTTTTTAAAGGAAAATAGGAGGGAGTAAACAATAAATGTGCAATTCAGAAAAAAGTCACAACCTACCAGCGCTAGAACTGAGTAGCCAGCTTGAAACGAGTTCTTGGAAAAACTATTAAGAACTGGTTGCTTGGAAACTTAAGGAAACCAATAAATTCAAGGTAAAAATAAAGAAAAACAGAGAAAACACATTTAGGAACAAAAAAGGGAAAGTTACAACAGGCAAAAGCAAGATTCTTTTTAATGATCAAGGGACTTCTATGTAAATTGTACAAATACATTTGAAAGCTTTCATGAAATTGATTTCTTAACAAGGAAGGCTAATGCAAGAAGAAATGAAAACAAATTTCACAAAGCACAAAAGACCTTTATAAAATGTAGCAAAGAAGAACTCTTAAATAGCACCTGGCCCCAGGGATGAACAGCAGGGTTTCTCCCAATTTTTCGTGAAGCTACATAAATTGTCCCAGGACACGATTCTTTCTACAAGGCAATCTTGGTCGTAGCAATGTGTGCATGAGAACTCTGAATAAAATATCAAGGAATAAAATGTGTATTGTTGAGGACCTACTATGTGTCCCTGTATCAGATAGAGAAAAAAGAGGTCCCCACTGTCACTGCTCACAGTGTAGCTGGAAGATAACGGTATAAACAAATAAAGGTAGTTTGGCTGTCTCCAAGGCCTGGCATGGGTAGGGGAGAGACAGAAGTTAAGGTGGCCCAGCTGTTGCCCTCGGGGAATTTACAGTTTAGCTGGGAAATTGTGCTCTGGAAACTTGGAGAAGAGACGAAGACTGCTTTCTCCTTGGGAGGAGAATGAATCAAGGAGGGCTCCCTGGAGAAAGTGTCTTTTCTGCAAGGCATTGAAGGAAAATCTTGATGATTAAGAGCATGGGCGCTGGAGTCCAGTAAATGTGGGATTGAATCTCAGCTCTATCATTTCCTTGCTGTGTGATCTTGGGCAAATGACCTCCCCTCTCTGGATCTCAGCTTATAAAATGAAGCATTTCCCTGGGTGGTTGTAAGAATTACCTTAAAGGAGAAACTATGTGGAAAGTGCTCTCCTGGAGTAATGACACTACACACAGGTGCCACTTCTATGTGATTTAAAAGATCTGAGCAGGTGAGATGCTAGAGCAGCCCTGTCTAACAGAACTTTCAGCAATGATGGAAATATTCCATGTCAGCCCTGCCCAATATGGTACCCACCAGCCACGTGTGGCTATCGAACTCTTGAACTGTGGCTAGTGCAACTGAGGAACTGAATTTTTTTTTCTTTCTTTCTTTCTTTTTTTTTGATGAGGAAGATTGGCCCTGAGCTAACATCTGTTGCCAATCTTCCTCTATTTTGTATGTGGGACACTGCCACAGCACGGCTTGATGAGCAATGTGTAGGTCCATGCCCAGGATCTGAACCTGTGAACCTTGGGCCGCTGAAGTGGAGCATGCAAACATAACCCCTACGCCACCGGACCGGCCCCAGGAACTAAATTTTTAATTGGAATTAGTTTGAATTTGAATAGCCACAGACCGCAAGTGATGACCAGATTGGACAGTGTAGATCTGAAGGGCGTTCAGGGCAGTGGCACCAGTTTGAGAAAAGGCCCAGAGGCACGAAAATAATACAGTCCACAGGCTGTGTATTCGCTTCCCTTGGCAGCTGTAACAAGTTGCCACAAACTTAGTGACTTAAAAACAGCACAAATTTATTCTATTACAGTTTTGGAGTCGGAAGCCACAGTCAAGGTGTCAGCTAGTCTGCGTTCCTTCTGGGGGCTTCGAGAGAATCCATTTCCCTGGACTTTTTCAGCTTCTGGAGGTGCCCGCATTCCTTGGCTCGTGGCCCCTTCCTCACTCACTCTGATGTTTGTTTCTCTTGTCACATCTCCTCCCACTGACTCTGACGCTCCTGCCTCCCTCTCATAAGGACCCTAGAGATGACATTGGGCCCAGCTGGATAACCTAGGATCCTCTCCCCACCCCAAGATCCTTAACTTAGCCACATCTGCGAGGTTCCTTTTGCCGTGTAGGGTCACAGATTCAAAGGTTTGGGGGTTAGGGTCTGGGCCTCATGAGGGGCCATTATTTCGTCTGCTACAGGATCTGAGCAGCTAGAACATGTGGAAAGAAGCCTCGAATACTAAACTCAGGAGCTTGGACGTGGCCTTTCCTTCAAAATAGATCCATAGTCTGTCGCTCTCTCGCCACCTCTGCCACTAGGACTTTGATCCAAGTCACCATCATTTGCTTGGACTATTACAGTAGACTCCTCACTTCCCTTCCCTCCTCTCCCAGAGTCCCCATCAGCAATCAGAGGAATCCTACTAAAATCGGAGTCAAATCAAGATGCTTGTCTGGTCAGAACAGGGTTTTCTGATTTAGAAAAACAATTTATAGAATGCTCCATTTTGAATTTCAGATAAACAACCAACAGTTTTTTAGCATAAGTGTGTCTCAAATAGTGCATAGGATATACTCATGCTAAACAAATTTTGCTGTTGTTTGTCTGAAACGCAAATTTAATTGGGTGTTTGTATTTTGTCTGGTAATGGTAGCTCAGAACCCTCCCATGGACCCCCAGACACACGCTATGGCCCCAAAGCCTTTCCAAGTCCGGCCCCCCACTACCTCTCTCCCTTCTTCTCACACCACTCTCCCTCTTGCTCACGCTGGTCCATCCACACTGGCCTCTTCCCTGTTCCTGGAATATGCCAAGCACATTCTGCCCCAGGGCCTTTGCACTTGCTGTTCTCTTGCTTAGAATGCTTTTCTCTCAGATTTAAGCATGACTCCTCCCTCCTTTCTTCAGGTCTTGGCTCAAAATATCGTCTTACCCAAGGGGCCTTGCCTGGCTGACCTATATCCCTGCCCCACTCATCCCTCTTTGCTCCTTTAGGTTCCTCAGCATTTATCACCACTTGACATATTCCACATTCCTCCATTTCTTTGCTTATTGTCCGTCTTCCTCCACTGGAATGTTAGCTCCTTGAGGGTAGGGATTTGTCTCTGTTTTGGTCACTGCTACATCCCCAGTGCCTATAAGAGGGCCTTTCACACAGCAGGTGCATAACGAATGTTTTGAATGAATAAAAGAATACATGACAATGTCATTGATCCCCTGGATCCAGCTATGCCTGAAGCTACCTTGTGAAATGAGACAGGAAGATACAAACCAGTTTCCGGCTAGCCTAGACCTCCATCTCCGAGACCAGGTCATGGCTGGTGGATTTCTTGCTGACCTCACTTTCATCCTTGCTCTGTGACTCCTTCAGGGCCCAGCGACATGCGGCTGGCAGTGACCGGCGCAGCTGAGCCCGCCCGAAATACAGGAAAAGCACGGGATTGAGGCAGCTGTGAGCAAGAGCAAGGCCCACGACCAGGGGTTCAGCCCGCAGGGCCCGGGCCAGGAGCGCGGAGTGTGGGGCAGCCACGGCGAGGACCAGCCCCAGCATCTGGTAGGGGGCCCAGCAGACAAAGAACCCCACCACCACGGCTATGCCCAGCGGCCAGCGGCGTTGGGCCACGTGACACAGGAGGGCACCGTGGCAGCTGGCCACGACCACCAGGGGCCCCAGGAAGCCGAAAATAAACCGGATGGCGGTCACGGTGCTCTCAGCCATGACCGAGCCCCCGTAGTCCACCACGCACTCCAGCCGGCGTGGGAAATGCTCCTGGTGCAGCCGGCGGTAGATGGCCGAGGGGACGGTCAGCAGCAAGGCCAGCGCCCAGGCTGCCACACAGGCCGCACGCACCCTGTGCATCCGCCGAGCCGCGGTCCCCCAGGTGGGCCTGAGGGCCAGCAGGCAGAGGTCGGCGCTGAGCGCAGCCAGGAGCAGGACGCTGGCGTACATGGACAACAGGATGACGGAGGGCAGGGCCCGGCAGCCCACGGCCCCAAACGGCCAGTGGCCCCCGCGGGCGATGGGCACGGCCAGGATGGGGAGGGAGCCACAGCAGAGCAGGTCTGCCATGGCCAGGTGGAGGAGCCAGGTGACACCCGCCCTCTGGCGGGCCTCTTTGCCGGTCACCCAGGCCACCATGGCGTTGCCCGGCACCCCCACCAGGAAGACAGCGGCATAGAGCAGGAGCGGGGCAGTGCCCAGGGGGTCGGTGGAGGCGCAGGCGTGGTCCGCGCAGTCCACGGGGAGGTCGGGCAGGTGGTCGTAGTGCGCGTAGTCGTAGTTGAGGGACGCGTTCTCCATCCAGGCCGCAGACACCTGGGCGGGAGAGAAAGGCCGTGAAGCTGTGGGGAGGGAAATTCGCAGGCTCCAGGGCCCCTCGGGCGTGGGAACCGCAGCCCGTTAGCATCCTGGAGACTCGACTCTGGCCCCGTTACAAGGCCAGGGCGTTAGGATATGGGAACACCGGAATGATTCGCTGGAACGTGCTAACTCTAAAATGTTAGCACCCGCTCACAAGCAGTCAGCTTGGAATTCCGCAACACGGCAACGTTAGAGAATTGGAATTCCAGATGCTGAAGGCTTGGAACACAAGCTCCTGAGCGTCAGAGCCTTCTAGAATGTTGCAGTGTTAGAACACCAGCATGCTTAAAAACCTCAGAATTCAAAATAGCAAGCCAGGAGAACCCTAGCCAATTATTTGGAATCGCAGAGCATTACCGTCGAATTTCAGCGTTGATGGAATCACCCTGTGTTTGTGCTGCCCGAGAAGGTGGCTGCCACCTTGGAAATGGGGCCAGTGCCACTGAGAAATGAAATTTTCGATTTTACGTAATTGCAATGAATTTAGATAGCCACACGTGGCCAGTGGCTTATTGGAGAGAAGTTCTAGAACATTCCAACGTTAGAATGCTAGCCCATTAGCAACCTGCAATTCTAGAGTTTAAAATATTGGAACCTGACTATTCACCAAGAGGGTAGAAAGTTAATATGTAGTCACAGCAAAAGTACTTGTCTTGGTTCTGCTTCATCTATATTTTCGAATCTTGGTGCAATGAAAATGTCCCTCTGGAGGAATTTTGTCACCTTTTTTTTTTTTTTTTTTTTTGAGGAAGATTAGCCCTGAGCTAACATCTGTTGCCAATCCTCCTCTTTTTGCTGAGGAAGACTGGCCCTGAGCTAACATCCGTGCCCATCTTCCTCTACTTTATATGTGGGACGCCTGCCACAGCGTGGCTTGCCAAGTGGTGCTGTGTCCACACCCAGGATCTGAACCGGCGAAACCCGGGCTGCCGAAGCGGAACATGTGCACTTAACTGCGGCGCCACCGGGCCAGCCCCCAACCTTTTTTTTTTAATATAAACTAGATCATAGTAAAATATACAGATGGCAAAGTGCACATATCACACAGGTGCACTTGCTCGATTTCACACTCCAAAGTTATTCATGTAACCAGCAACCAGATGGAGGAACAGAAATTTCTGGAATCCCGCTAGAGCAATTTTTAAAAGTAATGATTGAAAACAGGAAAAATGAAACGTTGAATTCTCTACAATTCATTCACTCATTCAACCCAGCTCCTGAGTACCCTCTCTGTTCCGGGCACGGGACACACAACCGGGGAGAAGGCCCCCAAAACCCTCGTCCCCTGGGAGCTGCCACTCCGGTGGGAGGAGTCAGGTAGGAAAGGAAGGAATTTTAAATGAAGGGCCTCAATGAGAAGGTGACAATTTGAGCAAAGCCATAAAGGAGGTGAGGGAGGGAACCATGTGGGGATCTGCAGGGAAGAGAGTGCCAGGCAGAGGGAACAGCCAGTGCAAAGGCCCTGAGGTGGGAACATGATGGTCTCGTTCAAGGAACAAATGAGGACGCCGGCCAGAGTGGAGTAGATGAGGGGGGTTGGGGAAGAAAGAGCAGAGAGCTATCGGGGGCCACGTGGGGGCATTGTGAAGACTTTATCTTTTGTTCCATGTGAGATGGGAAGTGTGGGAGGATGTTGATCAGAGAAGCAACGTGATCTATCATAGCAATAATAATAACAAGTATCGTTATGATTATTATTAATAATTATGAGCCACTATCTAGGGAGCGCTTGTGTTCCGTGCTGGGCAGAGCTCCAAGCACCTTTCAATGTTATATCATTTGATCCTTATAACGACCCTCTGATTTTAACTCTATTCTTATACCCATTCTGCCGATGAGGAAACTGAGGCAGAGAGAAGCTGAGCAACTTACCTAAGATCACTCAGCTGAGCAAGTAACACAGCTGAGTTCTGAACCGTGTTAGTCCCACTCCGCAACTCCGGGCCCTAGAATATTATCCTCCAAAAATCTGAGATTCGGGAGCGTCGGAAGGCAGAAGAGCTGGGGGCGCTGAGCAACCCAGGCTCCGAGACTCCGGAGGAGCAGTTTCGGTTGGCTGTTTCTCAGTTTCCTCGTCTGGGAGGTGACAGTCACCAAGGTGGACCTACCTCACCGGTTTGGGGAGGCCCAGAGGAGTCAACATGTGTAAAGCACGTGGCACAGCGCAAGGGCTGGGATAGACGGCAGACGCTCCCGCCTGATCTCAGTGACCTGGCCCTGCGGCTCTCTGCTGACTCTTCTGGGCTGGGTGGCACTGAGCTCCAGCTGGCACTGACGCAACAGGAAAGGCAAAGGAGAAGCTGGGGCGCTCCCATCAACCCCCTCCCTCAGGCCAAGTAGCAACCAAGAGGTCAAGCCACTGGGTGCGTGTGTTCCGAGTCTGGCCCTCTGCTTTCGTGTTATTTTCATCAGCAGAATAAAAATGTGTGCCAGCTTTCAAAACGTGAACCCGCACCAGCTGTGTGGCCTTGGGCAAGTCACTTAACCTCTCTGTGCCTCAGTTTTCCCATCTGTACAATGAGAATAATACTATACCCACCTCAGAGGGAGTTGTGAGAATTCACCAGGTGAGCAGGCGTGAAGAGCTGAGCCCAGCGCCTGGTCCACACGGAGCACGAGCCACGAGTTAGCTGCTGACACGCCAGCCAGGCACACCCTCCCTCCCCACCCCACCTGGTTAAAATCCAGGGAATTTTCCTCGGGTGAGTAACCCCATCAGTCGACGATATTTCCCTTTAAATATAATCAACACAAATGGGAGCCTTCAACACCCACTAAGTCATCTCTCAACCTTTTCCACTCAATTGTCTTCCATCCGTTTCCCTGTCTGCACCCACATCATCTCTTTTCTTCACAATGGCCTCAAAATCTGTCCCCAGGCTGGGCGTGTCATGCTCATTAACCAGCCTCGGACTGAGGGACCTCAAATGAGAATTGTGAGTGGCATTATTATTTTTATATTTTTTCACAATAAATATATTTATGTATTTATATCTCTATATAAAACATAATTGCTATCATTAATATTTTGTAGTAATTTGAATAATAGATGACGTTTATTGAGCGTCTGTTGTGTACCAGGCATAACCCTTTGAACAACCCTTTGGGGTAGATATTATTATTACCGCCATTTTCCAGAGCATGAGTTGGTCCCTGCTAGAACAGCCCCTGGCACACAGCCGGTGCTTAGCTGATGCTCAGTGAGTAAAAAAGAAGGAAACTGAGGGGCTGGCCCGGTGGCGCAGTGGTTAAGCGCGCACGTTCCGCTTCTCAGTTGCCTGAGGTTTGCTGGTTTGGATCCCGGGTGCAGACATGGCACCGCTTGGCAAAAAGCCATGCTGTGGGAGGCGTCCCACATACAAAATAGAGGAGGATGGGCACAGATGTTAGCTCAGGGCCAGTCTTCCTCAGGAAAAATAAAAAAAGGATTGGCAGTAGTTAGCTCAGGGCTAATCTTCCTCAAAAAAAAAGTGCGTTGGGAAGTCAGCCAGCCTTGCTGGGACTTCTGCTCCGGGAAACCGTGGGGAGGAATCCGCTAAACAGAATCCACTGGGCACAGGATACCTTGTCCCCCCTCCCAGAGAAGCACACATATGCTCCCCAAAAAGATGTGTTCTAGAATGTTCTCAGCCGCCCAAGATGGAAACCATCCAAAGGCTCAGCCACAGGAGAATGAACAAACAGATCGTGGTGTATTCACGCAGTGGAACATCCACACACGAGAACGTGGATGGATTGAATCCGCACGATGTGGGGGGGAGAGAGCCAGACACGCAGGAGAATTTACAGAACAATCCCTTTCACATAAAAGTCAAAAATGGGCAAAAGAGGGGCTGGCCGGGTGGCACAGCGGTTAAGTGCACACGTTCCGCATCGGAGGCCCGGGGTCTGCTGGTTTGGATCCCGGGTGAGGACATGGGACCGCTTAGCAAGCCATGCTGTGGCAGGCGTCCCACATATAAAATAGAGGAAGATGGGCACGGATGTTAGCTCAGGGCCAGTCTTCCTCAGCAAATAAAAAAGGGGGATTGGCAGCAGATGTTAGCTCAGAGCTAATCTTCCTCCAAAACAAACGAAAAAATGGTCGAAAGAACCACAGGGGATGGCGCCTGGGAGGGGGCCCAGGGCAGATCTGAGACCGGGCTTGTGCTGTCTCTTGACCCGGGCACTGGGCACCTGCGTGTGCTCGGCCCCTGGAGATACCGGAGCTCCCGGTTGTGATGCACGGGCTGTCTGTCTGTATGTGACCCGTGAAAATGAAGTCACAGAACCTTCCTTAAGAAGTGGAAGCGCTGGGTCGAAGGGCTTGTGCATCAGGCACATCGCCGTTCGGTGGATTTTCCAGAAGCCGCAGGGGCTCCCACAGGATTGAGCACGGCTTGGCTCCACACCCCAGACTGTGACAGCGTATTTGGATCCTTGGGCAAAAACTTTCCTGTCGGGCTGCCCGAGGCAATTCCAAGAGTCTGGGATTCAGATGTGGATTCCAATGCGATGGTGACAAGATTCCACTTCTCGATTTCTCATTCTGATTCCCAGATTCTGAAAATAATAAGTCTAAAACACGGAGATGGTGAAAACCGCCCCCCCCCACCTTTCTCCCCATCCTTACCGTCTCTTGCAAGAGGATCCCCAGTTCAGCCAAATGCCACTTGGGACTCGATGCGGGCCCACAGCCAGGACCCGGGAGGCCTGGGGTCCCTCCTCCTCGTCCGGCAGCTGGTGGATTCCTGGAAGTTTGCCCCGTTGGCCAGGGCTCCGGTGGGACGCCGCCGGGCACTGCCACCTCACCGGCCCCAGCAGATCTCCATAACCAGGGACAAACAGGAGTGGCCTTTTCCTACCCCCAGGGTGTATTTGTCCTGTGTTCTTCCCGTGACTCAGACATCCCAAAATTACCAGGCACTAGAAGGAGCTGGACAGGGCTCCGGTGGGTGGAGAGCTGGCTGCGTTCCCCCACCCCAGGCTCAGTGTCACCCGCTTCCTGGAAGCCACACCTGTGTGTGGTCTGATCTTCAAGGCCTGGGGCTCTTGGCCTGGGTTTGCTCTCCCCATGGGGCGCTCTGAGGTTTTCCTCCCCCAGCACCCACGGCCCGCTCCCCGCTCCCAGCCTCCAACTGTGTGCCCAGCCCCTCCCTCTCTGCAGAGTCTCCAGGACAAATAAATATTCCTCTAGCCTCCCACGTTCTGAGGGACACAGCCCAGGGTCACATCCTCCACAAAAAGTCCAAGGCCACCAAGAGCAGGGCCCGGGGCCTCAGAGGCAGACACAATACAGACAAACCCTGTCTCCTCTGTGGGCCTCAGTTTTCCATCTTTAAAATGGGAAGGTGGGGGCCGGCCCGGTGGTGCAGTGGTTAAGTTCGCACATTCCGCTTCTCAGCGGCCCGGAGTTCGCCAGTTCGGATCCCGGGTGCAGACATGGCACCGCTTGGCAAGCCATGCTGTGGCAGGCGTCCCACATAGAAAGTAGAGGAAGATGGGCACGGATGTTAGCTCAGAGCCAGTCTTCCTCAGCAAAAAGAGGAGGATTGGCAGCAGAGGTTAGCTCAGGGCTAATCGTCCTCAAAAATAAATAAATAAATAAATAAAAATAAAATAAAATGGGAAGGTGTTGACCACCGCGATTCTGAAGCTCCCTCCCGGCATCATCGCACGGGGAGCGACAACGTGGACCCAAAGCCCAAACGAGAAGATTCATGTTCCAGGTCCACGGTGGCCGGGTTTCCGGGCCTCAGACATCTCGGAGCCTCAACTTCCTCATCTGTGAAGTGGGTGCGTTGCCAGGAGCGTGAAATGGGTGAAGAGATTTAAAACACACACAGCAGCGCCGGGCACACAGGATACGTGATGGATGCATGATCGTTACATTGACGGCAGCACAAAGAATAGAAGGGAAATTCTTAAAATTTACATGAAGAACGCAGGCTTAGCAAGAGGAAGTGGCCTCGCTCCTTAGTCAGCGGTTTGTGCATCCCCACTTCTCTCTGTGTGTGTTCTAGAGGTTCGGGGCATCTGTTGATGCATTTCTTTCGTTGTTGTTTAGAGAAGAAAATCGCGTTGTTAGAGGAAGATGCTTCTGGGGACAGAGACTAGACTGTGTGAGCCGAGGCGTCTCCCGGCGCCTCTCCTGGTGACCTTGTCTTGGCCGAGCCAGGCCCGGGATCCCTGTGGAAACACATGTGCCCTCTGCCCGCTTTCACCAGGCTCGGGGAGGCCGCCTCATGTCCCACGTCCCGCCAGCCCCGGGCCCCCGTGGGACCCCACCCTGGTGGGAAAAAGACTGAGATGGAAGAAACCCAAGGTGGAGACTGTCCGTTATCAGCTCCGGCTTCGTCTGAGCTGATGAGCTTACAGGGATGTGTTTCTCGATGGTTCAATCTTAATAAACTTCCCCACCGCTGTCTCTCCAGGAGGACGTTTCTCAGATTCTGGGAGGCTGAGGTTTCCTGGTGTCCCTGGAGCTGCGGGCTCCTACCTGGGGGTCTGAGGGATGCTAGGGGCCGAGGACAGGCTCTCCACAGGCCTGAGAAGGTTGGAGGGTGGGTTGGGGGCCACGCTGCTCTGGGAGGCGGGAATCCTCTTACAGCCACCCTGCGAGATGCTGGGCGCCAGCTCTCCATGCCAGGAGAAACTCGAAATGGGAACACCCTGGAAGGTTGTTAAGTGAATGCATAGGAAATTGCCCTTTTTCTGGGTCAAACTAGGTTGGGTTTCGGCAAGGCCGTAGCGACAGAAAGCAGACTCGCAGTTGCCGGGGGCTGGGTGGCGGAGAGGAGAATGGGAAGTAATTGCTTCATAGGTACGGGGTTTTCTTCTGGGGTGAGGGAAGTGTTTTAAAGCTAAATATTGGTGACGGTTGCAAAACAGTGTGACTGTGCTAAATGCGGCCAATGGTGAGTTTTGTTGTTAGGCGTATTTTACAGTTTTTTTAAAAAGTAATAAAGAAATAAACCGTTACCCACCTCACCCCAAGGTAGGATGAAGTTTGGCAATTTCACAGACTTCAACCTCATTGAATTATAGAAGACAGAGAGTGAATGGCTAAGAGGGAGAAACCAGGCTCTTTTGAACGGTGTGTATTATTATGTGATATTTGACACATGGAAAAGAATGTGTGTAATCTATGTGTTAACTTATAAAGCTCAACAATTAAATAAACGTCTGTTAAACCACCACCCCTCTTAAATCTGAGAATTTTAGGGCGGCTGGGTTGCCTAGTGGTTAAGTTCATGCACTAGGCTTTGGCAGCCCAGGGTTCGCCAGCCTGGATCCTGGGCACGGACCTACACACCACTCATCATGCTGTGGCGGCGGCCCACCTACAAAATAGAGGAAGACTGGCACAGATATTAGTTCAGCGACAATCTTCCTCACCAAAAAAAAAAAAAAAAAAAAATCTGTGAATTTCTTGATCAAGGGTCAATAAACTTTTTTGGTAAAGGAATAGAGAGCACCTATTTGTTTCTGCTAGTCAAGAGGTCACTTGTGGTCTCTGTCACAACTGCTCCATCTGCCTGGTGGAATGAAGCTGGCCACAGACTGAACGGGCATGGCTGTGTTCCGATAAAACTTTATTAACAAAAACAAGTGGTGGGCCAGATTTGGCCAACAGGCTGGCATTTGGGGACCCCCAGATCTAGGACAAAGACTCTGAAGGCAACAGCGTTGGAATCACAGCCTCTGAGAGCACTGGAACCCATAGGTTATTGGACTCGAAGGATCCTACGATTTTAGTCACAGACCATTTGAAGGACAGTGTTCTAGAATGTCACATCGGAACCTCGGAGAGTTGGAAGTCTGGAGCTCCAGCTGTCAGATATTAGAATTTCGTAGATGGTCTGAATGTCGGTCGAGGAATTCTAGCCCTGACCCGTCTGATGTGGTAGCCACTGGCCACACGAGGCCACTGAGCTCTGAAAAGTGGTGGATCTGAGATGAGAGGTGCTGGGGTGTAAAACACGCACAGGATTCTGAAGACTTGGCATTAAAAAAAGGATGTCAAACCTCTCAATCATGTTTTATATTGATCTCACATTGAACTAGTATTATGAACGTATTGGGTTCAATAAAATTCATCAGTAAAATTAATTTTCTCCAATTCTTTTTGTCTCTCTTTGCTTGTCCCTTGCTCGGGCTACTGGAAAATGTGAAAAGGAGACCGTGGCTCGAATTATTTTCCCATCAGACAACGCTGACCTGGAGTAACACCCTCCAAGAGATTAGGTGTGGTGCCAGGGCAGCTCACACAGCACAGAGGCAGGGAGAGGCTCTGACCCCGGGCCTTGGGGAGCCAGGTCTGAGGAACAGAGTAGGGAGTGACAGGGGCCTTTGGGGAGGCGTTGGAGCACAGCCAACTTGGTCAAACCCATCACCCGCTTCCTTTCCCCACCGCTTCCTCTTCAGAACATGTTGACCCAGCAGATTCCCCGGAGGGCCAGATTTGGCAATAGCCTGGCCCTTCAGCCCACTTCCCTCCTGGGCAGGGCTGGTCAACATCAGGCAGAGGCTGCCTTGGAGAAGCCACCTGGATCCCACTCATTGGCCTCCCAGTGTTTCTAGAAGACTGTGGTGGGGCCTAGCTCTTGAGACAGCATCTCCTTCCCACATCAGGGTGAGGGAAAGCCAGAGGATGGCTAGGAACAGAGAGGCAGTGTGGGGGTGGGGAGGCAGAGGAGGAAGTCTTGGTGGACTCCCTGGAGGAGGCTGCATCCTGAAGGAAGGTAGAAGAGGGATAGGGATGGTCTCTTAAAAATAGGCCGGGTAACCAGGAGACCAGGCAGGAGGGGAGGCAGGAACTCAAGGGGGAGAGGATGGCGTGCTTGGACTAGGCAGGCCGTGGGGCAAGAAGAGGGCAGCGTCCAGCATGGTTCCCAGGCACGGGCTTGGGTGACCGCGTGGACGGTGGGGCGATGAGAGGGGAGGGGGCGGTTTGGGAGAAGATGCCCAGGTCAGTTCGGGTGAGGTGAGTGGGTGCGGAGGCCACATCCTGCAGAGAGAGGTGTGGGGGAAGTTGCAAGAGGCAGAAGCGGGTTCAAGACAGAACTGGAGAAAGCCCGAGTGTGCGGGCAGAAGAAGAAACTGTGGAGGAGGCGGGGAAGGGTCACAGAGAGAAGGCAGGAGGAAAACCAGCCAGGCCTGGAGCCACCAGCGAGAAGGCCGGAGCGGCGGGAAGGACGTTGGGTGTCGAGGTGGCACAGCAGTTAAGTGTGCACATTCCGCTTCAGTGGCCCTGAGTTCACCGGTTCAGATCCCAGCTGCATACATGGCACCGCTTGGCAAGCCATGCTGTGGCAGGTGTCCCACATAGAAAGTAGAGGAAGATGGGCATGGATGTTAGCTCAGGGCCAGTCTTCCTCTGCAAAAAAAAAAGAGGAGGATTGACAGCAGATGTTAGCCCATAGCTAATCTTCCTCAAAAAAAACAAATAAATAACATTTTGGATATATTGAGTTAAGCAAAACATAATACTGATCATATTATTCTTTTATATATTAAATATCATTATATATAGCAATATAATATAAATACATTACATTAATAACATTGATGTTACTATAAATATGAATATATATTATATACAATGTGTTATATATTTTCTATATTATATAATATAGTTAATTTTCCATGTTATATAATTATAAATGTAATTACTATATAATATATTGATATTCATATAATATAGAATATTTATATAATATAATTAATTTATCATTCATATCATTGTTAATATAGCATATAATTATATTACATTATTAAATATATTACTATTATTTCATCTCTTTCTTTTTAATTTTTTAATATAGCTGGTAGAAAATTTAAAACTACTTAACATGGCTCATATCATATTTCTGTTGGACAGCACTTGTCTATACAATATTTCTAGCCAATCTACACACAGGCATACACGCAAAATACTAGAAGAAATGTTTTAGGGTCAATTATAAATAATGCAACATTTTTATAAGAGAATACTATGAAACACTATATGCCCACAAATTGCATAACCTAAAAGAAATGGATACATTCTTAGACTCATACAGCCTCCCGAAACTGAGTCAAGAAGAAATAGAGAATCCGAATAGACCCATCACAAGTAAAGAGATTGAAACAGCAATCAAAAACCTCCCAAAAACCAAAAGTCCAGGACCAGACGGCTTCTCTGGAGAATTCTACCAAACATTCAAAGAAGACTGAATATCTATCCTTCTCAAACTCTTCCAGAAAATTGAAGAAGATGGAATGCTTCCTAACTCAGTCTATGAGGCCAACATCAGCCTGATGTGAAAACCAGACAAGGACACCACGGACAAGGAAAAGTACAGGCCAATATCGCTGATGAACATAGATGCACAACTCCCCAACAAAATATTGGCAAAACACA